AATTTGCGTGCAGCGATACAGTCCCTTGCAGCCACATTGTCCTCAACAATGTGAATCTTGAAGGCAAAGACGGTCAAGTCGAAGCTTACTGTAACTCAGCTGAAGGATTTGGGTATGGAGTGATTCATCCGTCGGCGGATTGTCTCTACTCGCACGACGACAAGGGCTTGGACCAGACTCGCAAGTCAGAGGAAGCCGAGACTGGCCACGACGAGCTTTGATGGTGATGTTCAAAGTGTTGTTGTAGTGAGGGATGATATGTAAAATAGTTTTCTGAAGCATATGATACAGTAAAATGATTTTATTTTTGTTTTTATAATCAACCATAATTAAGGTTGTTGTTAACAACATTTGTCCACCTTTTGTATCAACTATTTTTTATTTTTTTTCATACAAAGTCATATGCAAGCATTTTTCAACATGAAATTTTAAATTTGAAGTTTATTGTTTATGAAATTTAAATACGTATTGATATTGAAACTAAGCTACATAGGTGTCTAAGTTGTTAGAATTGTCTTATTTTGTTTGCTCAATTTATGCAATGTGATCTATATAATCAACTTTAAGAATATTATAATTGTTAGATGATGGCATTTAAAATGCTTTAACTTTTCGGTGTGAAAGTTTAACTTTTCTTGTGAATGAAATTTGATTGGTACTAATCCTACAATTAGAAATAGAAAAAGGAAATTTTATTTGACTTTAGGATTAGAGGGACAAGAACAACACATCACATGGGGACTCCAAAGGTCGCAATTGATATTAATTGTTTGGCACGTGCTAAAAACTCTTCCTTTTTTTTTTTTTCACAATTTGTGTGTAGCTGTAAACATCAATGACCAATGCCAACCCATTTATTTACTCTTTCAATAACAACTCAACAACTACATCACCTAAGAATAAGATCCAGTCTTGCCTTGCAATTTGCTTGTAATGTGAAATCAAAACGACCAATTTATATGGTATATAATAATTATTGTATTTTTTAAATTCTTTCATATGGTAAAGAATCATAACATATTAACATTATAAGTGAATAAATTGGTTTTGTCTATATCCAGAAGAATGCAAATAAAGAAATAATTTCCTTAAAACGAAGATAAAACCAAACTAAATGGTATAATGGACCCGGAGAATCTAAGACGTGCAAGAATAGTGATTTTGTTTACCATTAAAAACAAATAATCATGTTCATTCCATTTCCACTTTATTCCAAATTATTGTGAACAACAAAATTGGAGAGAGTGCAAGTTGTGAAGAAGCACAAGGTTTTTGGTTTTTCTCTCTAAAAACCAAACTAAGCATTCACAAATCTGTAGTTGTTGTGGCAGAGAGAAAGCTTTTGAGGTAAAACCACAAAATCTTATTGACTTACATTGCATTTGCTTTCAAGTTTTGATAAATCTCTAAAAGGTTTATGACTTTTAGAATTACTCTTTCTGATTTTTAAGCACACTGTTCAATTGATAATGCAGATCCAGATCATTGTTTGTTTTCCAGCTTTTGAAACTGAACATTCACAAATCCAACCCTACATCATATTCCTTGTGACATATCTTTTTTCTTTTAGACTAATAAACAACATTGTTTTTTGTTGTCTATATGTTTCTCAAGTAATACAAGTATATTACAATGTTTTCAGTCTGAAAAGAAGCCAAAAAAACAATTTTGTTACAAAAGTCATTAGAGAATTAACAAAGTTTTGAAGCAGAGGAGGAATGTTCAATGTTAGAAAAATAGGACCAAAAGTCAACATCACTTTTAACAAAAAAAAAAAAAAAAAAAACGAGTACAACTGTAACATTTACTTCGACTTTATCTACGAGAGGATTGAGCAAGTGGGATGCAATTGACTAAAGATGCATCACAAACCAACCCAAATCATAGCTCATAGTTATAATTATATAAGACTAATCATTTTCCTTTTCTCTTAGAGTTGTTTAGTTTTAGACTATAATAATAGGAGATGTTGCTCAAAAAAAAAAAAAAAAAAAAAATAATAGGAGATGAAGAGAATGTGATGCTAGTAACTAACTCTTATTTAAATGAAGAATATAAACAAGATCTGGTCCTGACATTGTTATGAATCTTCAAACTCAGGACACAAACCAAGATCTCTTGTAGAGGAAAACAAAAAAAACTTTCCCTCCATGTCTAAGTTTTGAGCTTCTGGAGAGTTTCAAGTCCTGTGGAGAAAAATGTCACCATTGATGAAGTTCTTTCTCTTTCTCTATGATTATCTTTCACCTTCCTCTTGGTTTCTGGTAAGTCTTTCTTCTCTCTCTGTTTCACATGATTCTTGATTTCACATTATATTTAATCCTTTTTTTTTTTGGTTTTGTGGGGTTTAAGGTCCAAAGACACAACTTAGCAGCATTATCAGATACTACAGATGATGTTGTGAGAAGTGGCATAATTGGAGAGATTATATACATTTGGAAGCAGACAAGAATCTTTGTCTTTATACCAATCTTGAAATGTTTAGTGACAATATGTTTGGTCATGTCCCTTTTGTTGTTCATAGAAAGAGTTTATATGAGCATAGTTGTAGTGTTTGTGAAATTACTTAGAAGAACACCCGAGAAAGTACACAAATGGGAAGCTATAAACGATGATGATCTTGAGTTGGCCAACACAAACTACCCAATGGTTCTCATTCAGATCCCAATGTACAATGAAAAAGAGGTAATTCTCATTAATTTTGTTGGTTACAACAAAATTTTAAATTAATATACATATATTATACAATCCTAATGAAGGAATCATATTCTTGTTGTTGTCACAGGTTTGTCAGTTGTCTATAGGAGCAGCCTGTAGACTTTCTTGGCCGTTGGATCGAATGATAATTCAAGTTCTTGATGATTCCACAGATCCAGCTAGTAAGGTCCTTTGTTCAATTTTTTGCCCCCCAAGAATCTTTGGTTTATTGTATGATTGGTTCTTTATCTATGGAACGTTTTTGACATATGGAATGATTTGGAAAAGACAGGAATTGGTGAATGCGGAATGCGATAAATGGGCGAGAAAAGGTATAAACATAATGTCAGAGATTCGAGACAACAGAATCGGATACAAAGCAGGAGCATTAAAGGCAGGAATGATGCACAACTATGTGAAACAATGCGAGTTTGTCGCCATTTTCGATGCTGATTTTCAGCCTGATCCTGACTTTCTTGAACGAACCATTCCTTTTCTTATTCACAACCATGAAATCTCTCTCGTTCAATGCCGCTGGAAGTTTGGTAAAGTCATATCTTTTTGAAAAATAATAGTTATTATGTTAAGTCAAATTGGCTAATGGAGGGAATGTGTTACATGTAGTGAATGCAAACGAGTGCTTAATGACAAGAATGCAAGAGATGTCACTAAACTACCATTTTGTGGCTGAGCAAGAATCTGGATCTTCAATACATGCTTTCTTTGGATTCAATGGAACCGCGGGTGTTTGGAGAATCGCAGCTTTAAACGAAGCTGGAGGATGGAAAGATCGAACAACCGTAGAAGATATGGATTTAGCTGTAAGAGCTTGTCTTCATGGTTGGAAATTTGTCTATGTCCATGACGTCGAGGTACTACTACATATAACCCTTTTAGACTTCAATCACTATATAACTAAGTACTTTCAAGATTTCATTCAAGACATTATTTTTTTTCTAAAATTCAGGTGAAAAATGAATTGCCAAGTACATTCAAAGCATACCGGTTTCAGCAACATAGATGGTCTTGTGGACCAGCGAATCTATGGAGGAAGATGACAATGGAAATCTTACAGAACAAGAAAGTGTCGGCGTGGAAGAAATTGTATCTCATATACAATTTCTTCTTCATAAGGAAGATTGTAGTACACATCTTCACATTTGTCTTCTATTGTCTGATTCTACCAGCAACTGTGCTATTCCCTGAGCTCCAAGTTCCTAAATGGGCAACTGTTTATTTCCCTACTACAATCACTATCCTTAACGCAATCGCAACACCTCGGTAACATCTCGTTCTACTCCATATAAAAACTCTGTTTTTTCATCTCTTAGTTTTGATCAATAAATGTTTTGTCAAGTGCAGATCACTCCATCTTCTTGTCTTTTGGATCTTATTCGAGAATGTAATGTCGATGCATCGCACAAAAGCGACTTTCATCGGGTTACTAGAAGCAGGACGGGTTAACGAATGGGTTGTTACTGAAAAATTAGGTGACACTCTCAAGTCTAAGTTAATAGCTAAAGCTACAACTAAGCTTTATACCAGATTTGGACAAAGGTACTCTTAACTTTAAAACACACACAATTACAATTTCATAACATTTAAGCATTTTGAAATGTTGTAACTAATTTTAGTTAACATTTTGCAGAATCAACTGGAGAGAACTCGTTGTTGGGCTATATATATTCTTATGCGGATGCTACGATTTCGCCTATGGAGGATCATACTTCTATGTCTATCTGTTTTTACAGTCTTGTGCATTTTTTGTTGCTGGTGTTGGTTATATTGGCACTTTTGTTCCATCTGTTTAGATTAGACTTTTGTATTTGAGAGCAAATGTGTTTTTGCTATTGATTAGACCAAATTAGAGATTGGATCTTGGTTAAACCAAGTTAACTCTTCCAATATTATTCATACTCAAAAATGTATTTCTTATGTTGTTATAATCCAAAAATGTGCTTATCGATCGTTATACAAACGAACTTATCGTTAATCCAAAAATCCCTTATATTTGTTGCCAATTTGTGTTCTAGAAAAGAGAATTGAGAGAATTATACAAAAAATAAGTCAACGTCAATGATTTGAAGATGTTGAAAATGACGTGGCTTTTTCTTATTGGAAAGATGCCATCGACGGCCAATGACCCATCACGCATGTAAACCGCGTAAGCTCAAGGCCCCTCCACGAAAACATTCTTGCATTGGGCTTTGAAGGGTATTTTCGGTACCTTCTGTGATATTTATGTGAATTGACCTTTTTGTCCTTTGTCTCTATAAAGATCTTCTTCCGTTTTCGCAATTATGCGTTGTTTTGAAGCTTCTCTTTCAAATTCTGTTCGTCTCTCGCGATCTCTCTCTCTCAGATAGCTCCGAAACTTTCACGTAGAGGTAACGATTGATCTAGATCTGAGCTTAATTCATTCTCAATTTCATAGATTCGAAAACATTTGCAGGTTTGTTCATTGTGTTCTTAGGTTGCATCCTCGTTTTCGATTTGATGGTTGGGAATTCGATATTTAGCTTCGATTTAGGTTTACGATGATGCGCATCTATTGATGTTTTGGTTGGGAATTCTGATTCGATATGTCTCTGTAGCGTTTAAGTCTGGATCTATGAGCATTTTCACTTCTTCTCTTGTAATTGCTTTGTATAGATTCTGGATTTCTCGACGATCTATACGATGAGAGCATTAGGTTTTAGATCTGCGTTTATCTAATTGTACTTATGCTTTGTTCATAGAGTTTGCTTTTTTCTCTTGTGATCTATATGTACTTTTGGAATTTGCTAATGCATTATGTGTGATACAGTGAAGCAGAATGGGTTTGTCATTCGCCAAGCTTTTTAGCCGGCTTTTTGCCAAGAGGGAGATGCGAATTCTCATGGTTGGTCTTGATGCTGCTGGTAAGACCACCATTTTGTACAAGCTCAAGCTCGGAGAGATTGTAACCACCATTCCTACTATTGGTGAGTTTAACATTTCATAATTCAGTTTTCAAAAGTTTTGTTCCGTCAACTTTGTTCATACTATTCATACAATTGTTTGCTTCCACTGGTCGTGATGATTAAAATACAAATTGTGGACAGGGTTCAATGTGGAGACTGTGGAGTACAAGAACATCAGTTTCACAGTGTGGGATGTCGGGGGTCAGGACAAGGTATAAGATTATCCAACTTTAAAGCATTAAGAAGTTTTTTTTTTTTTGCATCACAATCTGGGGATCTTTTTCCTACTGTGTGTTGGTATTATTGTTGATGAGTTTAGTACCACACAATCTGACATGGCATAAATTTGCACTTCTTGTTGTCAGATCCGTCCCTTGTGGAGGCACTACTTCCAGAACACTCAAGGTCTTATCTTTGTGGTGGACAGCAATGATAGAGACCGTGTTGTTGAGGCTAGAGATGAATTGCACAGAATGTTGAATGAGGTATGTTTCCAGTGTTATCTGCCTGTTGTACTGAATTCATTCATGTCTAGATGATTCCAGTGTTTCTTGATAGTAGTAACTAGTAAGACCGCGCACTAGTAAACTTACCAAAACACTTGTCGGGTTTTATACAGGATGAGCTGCGTGATGCTGTTCTGCTCGTGTTTGCTAACAAGCAGGATCTCCCAAATGCTATGAATGCAGCTGAAATCACTGATAAGCTTGGTCTCCACTCTCTCCGTCAGCGTCACTGGTAATTAAACCATATGATCTCCCCTGCTTCGCTCATGTTGATTGGTTCTCTTGCCAATAACGTTTCTTATGATATAGTTCCAAAGATTTATCACCTCTCTGATTGATTTGTCTACGAACTCTCTCCAGGTACATCCAGAGCACATGTGCCACTTCAGGTGAGGGGCTTTACGAAGGTCTTGACTGGTTGTCCAACAACATTGCCGGCAAGGTAAAATGTCACGAACAACAATTTAATTTGTCTATCAGTATTTTCAAGCAAATTGTCATTCTTTCTTCTGTGTTTTTGTTACCGGTTGTGCAGGCGTAGAGGGAAAGTTCGTGGCCGAGTTGATTTGCTGAGCAAATCTGGATGCAGGGGCAAACATTATCTGAATTTTTTTTTGTTGGTTTCCGCTTTTGTTATTGTTCTGCTTTTTTTGGGATGTGGATGGATTTTGTGATTGTTGTTCTGATTGTGTAAGCAGGGGTCTTTGTACGTAGAACTTAGAAAAAACTACCTTTTATATAGTTTTGGTAAAACTGTAATCGAAGATTTAATCTACTGCTTTCGTGGTTTTTGGCAAATTTTACTTTTGCACTTTAATGCATATGTTTTATAGGCTGTTTTTGGCACAAGTAAGAGTAAAAGTTTTATTTGATGTTTTATCAATTAATAGCGGATTTGGGACGTTTCAAATACCTCGCATCACGGCACTTGTAATTTGAAGATCTTCGATCAGAGTTTTCATGGTCTTGATGGTGATCCGACGAACGTACCAAGAAATCGGTGGCAGATTAAAAAGAAAAGAAGGCTTAAACATCTGGTCCAATGTCACTTTCGACCCAATCCTTCCTTGTCCGTGGCTACATTTTTCGTATTCTTCTGTACTCGTAGGCTTCTTGTGTTTGCAAAAGAGTTCTGAATCTACGTATAAGGGTTCCACTTTATACTGACCCTCAAACATGTTTATGAACATCTTATTCTTTACCGTATATTGTACCTGCCGAAATAAGCAAGAGAAACCCAAATTAATTTCCCAAGTCTGAAAAAAAGGATTGATTCTCATGAGGGAAGTTTCTTACCGTAAGGAATTGTCGGTGTTCGATAAAATTTGCAATTATCGGGATGGTTCCAGAGAACCAAAGGAAGTTCCAGGCCACAGCTTTCTCCGTGTCCACAAGCTGCCCTTTCCCGGTATCTGGCGACACAACTTTTCTTGATATGTTTTCCTTCATTAAAAAAAAAAGCACACTCTCAAATATTGTTGTTATACTTTTGTTGAATCATAAAATGATAAGTTAAAAGAAGAAACCAAAAGTTGGCGTCCTTTGATTATTCTTGAGTATGGTTGGTTGTCTGGATTAGTTAAAATGTCGTAAGCGGCTTGAGGAGGCAATCCTAATGTAAATTGCATTTCTATAGTTGACATACCCCATTCTAGGTCATTTCTTCTTTCCACCTTCAAACATAAATAAAAATTAAGATCTTTCTTCTTAATTCTATATACCATTTTAGAAGGCAAAAAATTCAAAGTATTGAGATTTTGTTAGCTGATTTTTTTTTTAATTATTTTATTTTAACTGATTTGGTCTTTACCTTCATCTTAAGAGGGGCATCATTCCATTGTTCTTTCTTCTCTGCATCTCTCCAAAGTTTTAATTGATGTTTCATCTCATCTCTCTCCTCATGAGTATTTGTTTCTGACTTTGACTTAAATTTCACATTCTCAGGTCTCTCATCGGACTCTGCCTACAAGAACAAACATAATCATTATCTATTGATCATGACAGTTTATTTGTTTTGAGTTCTCGGGTTCTATAATTGATGGAAATGAAACTGACCTTATGAGACTGTTGAGTGTTTTGATTGATCCAGCTACCAAATCCAGGAAATACACCCATTTCCTTTCTTAAAATTTAGTCCACAAAGAGAATATGACGATCGGAAGAGAGTAATGTCCGAGAGATAGACCGATGGTGAGTCAAAGAGAGAGTTGACTTACCAAGGAAAAGAAGTCAACGGCACAATTTAAGGTTTTAGGAACCTTAGATAAAAAGATGGATTCAGATTTAGACAAAAATATAATATGAAATTGAAAGAATACCGAAGGTGGAGTGTACTATACGCTACCGCAAAAAAAGAGAAACAGGGTAGCTCAAGTCTCGTGACTTATTTCTTGTCGTACAAGCGAGTGGTACATGAGGAATGTTTCTGCTGTGCTCGTCGTGAAATCTGAGCATTATGAACATTTTTTTTTGTGCGCACCAAAGCATCATGATTCATGAACTTAGTTCCGTAATTACAAGAAGAATTAGAAGTGTGTATAGTCCACGTGTATTTTCCCAAACTATTTATTGACTGGTTATTAACAAAAGATTTTCATTGACCAATACATGCATCTTTCATGACGTATTAGAGAAAATTTCATGTAGCATTTTCATAAATATTTTGAGGTTTTCTAAAAACGTTTACTAAAATCTGAGTTGTTATAATAGATTGAATATATTCTAACGATGTAAAAGAAAAAACTCACAAAAGCTAACAAACGGTTGCAAATGAAATATAGAACATATTTGTTAACTTGGTTACACAATTGTGTTGTATTATTTCTTTTTGAGACAAATAACACCCACAAAGTTTTAAGAAGTTTAAAGAATATGTTGACATCGTATTACGAATTTCATTTTGAAAACCTCAATATGATATGATCCGAAAACGATTACAACACTTAGATGGACCTCGTCGTTTTGTTTCCTGAACGTGCTCGTCTTAGGCATTTCTCAAATCTATATACGTTGAGTGTAAAATTTTTTATTCTGCCGATGTCCCTTCAAATGATGCTAAAGTAATACAATATTTTTCAAAATTTACTTGTTAATACTAACCCGATACTCAATTTTTTTTTTCCGGTAAAGAATAATACACTTATATTAAGATGAATAAAGTGACTTTGAAGATTAGTATTTGTCCTCTTCGGATTTAGAATAATAGTGATTTAGAAACCTATTTAATGTTTGCATTTCAAACACCTCGGAGCTTGGCGCCCATATCTTGAAGATCTTGTATCAGAGCCTTAGTGATCTTGATGGTGATCTCACGGATGTACCAAGAAAGCGGTGGCAAATTAAAAGGAAAAGAAGGCTGAAAGGTCTGGTTCATTGTCACCTTCGACGCAATCTTTCCTTGTCCACCACTACATTTATGGTATTCTTCTCGACTTTTCGGCTTCATGCCCTTGCACAAGCGCTCTGAATCCACGTATATTGGCTCCAATTTCCAACTACCCTCAAAAGTTTTCATGAACATCATTTTCCTTTTCATATATACTGCCTGCGATAATAAGCAAGAGATTAATGTTCCAATAATAATGTACAAAAATATTGATTCTCTTGAGAGATAGAAAGAAGTTTCTTACAGAAAGATTTTTACGGTTTTCGACGAAATCGAGACTTATCGGGATAGTTCCAGACCACGAAAGAAACTTCCAGGCCACAGCTTTCTCTGCCTCCACCGTCTGACTCGATCCATCATCCGTCAACACTTTTCTTGATACGTTATCCTTCGTAAGAAAAAAAATATCACATTCTCTCAAAAATTGTTATAATACTCATTTGAATCATACAATGATAAGAAAATAAAAGAAAAACCAGAAGTTCGTGGCGCTGGTTGATTATTCTTGAGTATGATTGGTTGTCGGGATTAGTCAAAACGTCGTAGGCTGCTTGAGGAGGCAATCCTAATGTAAATACCATGTCCATATGGCAAATACCATCTTCTATTTCCACCTTCAGACATATACAAAAGTGTTAGAAAATTTGGGATATTTTTTTCTAATGGCAAAAAAAATTAAAGTATTGAGATTTTGTTAGCTGATTTGGTCTTACCTTCACTTTAGCAGGGACATCTTGCCATTGTTCTTTCTTCTCTGCATGTCTCCAAAGTTTTAATTGTTCCTTCATCTCATCTCTCTCCTCGTGAGTATTTATCTCTGACCTTGACTTAGATTTCACATTCTCAGATCTCTTAGACTCAGCCTACAACAACATATATAATGATTATCTAATAATCTCTATAATTTACCTATAGTATTTATATTAGTTTAACTTCCAAGTGTTATCTGATTGATGGAAATGAAACTCACCTTAGGAGGCTGTTGAGTGTTCTGGTTGATCAAGCCACCAAATCCAGGAGATATACCCATTCAAAATTTAGTCGACAGAGAGAAAATGACGATCCAAAGAGATTGTCCGAGAGATATATGATAGAGAGACAAAGAGATAGTTGACTTAATGAGGAAAATAAGCCAACGGCGCAATATAAGATGGTTTCAGGGACCGTAGATAAGAGATGGATTCAGAGTTGGACAAAATATAGTAAGAAGCTGAAACAATTAGCGAAGGTGAAGTGTGTAGGATACGTTTACTTACCGCGAAAAAGAAGAAACTAGGAAGCTCAATTCTTGTGACTTCTTTTCTTGACGTACAAGCAAGAGCTTCATGAGGAATGTTAATGGACCTATAAGCCCACTAGGGCTAGTGATTATTCAAATTTGAGTTGGTCTAAATTGTTTGATTTGTTGAGAGAATGAAAGATTTTCTTAAAGATAAAAATGTTTAGCAAACCTTTGCGGCTAGCGTTAATATTGATAGAAGGCACAATTTAGTGAAAAAGAAAGATAAATCAAAATCAAACACAGGTGGAAAAAAAAGAATGCCATGAAAGAACACAAAAATTTGCTTTACGCTAATCCCTACGTTGTTTAAACTTTCGACCATTTTTTTTTTTTGTTAATGAAATTTAAACCATTTCCTCTTGTGGAGCCCCACAACATCAGCCCCCATTACTCTGTTACTTTAAACTTTATAAAAATTAGAGTATTTCCCAATAAAACTCAAAGATTTGTTGTGTGTAAAATAGTGAGTAATGGGAATATAGATTAGTCAATGATTGGTAAAGCCCACTCCATAAATCTTTTGAATTTTATTGGGAAAGAGTAAATTGTACAAAATCCCACTTTATCTCCTGACAAAGAAAACAGATTTGTTCTTGTTCTAAAGTGCATATCTCTCCATGCACTTACACATCACAAAGAATATCTTTAGTAGCCTCTCTTTATAAAAAGAAAAGAAAGAAAAACAACAAAGAATGTTCTCTCAATTTTTAAAATGTTGGTTTCAGACGCATTAGTCTTATTCCTTTCATTACCTGTCACTTTTGTATGATACATATTAAATATTAACTTTGTTTCTAACCACAAATGCTACTAATACATTACCCCTAATCTCACATGGAATGAAGCATATTCACATTTCTTGTTTCACAAGTACCTTCTCAATAACCCTCCTTGATCTCTACTCAAGGAACACCACAAGATATCTCAACTCCAACATCTTCTTATAACTGATTTATCTTTAAGAATCAAACAAAAACAAAAGCCTAGGAGAGAAAATGGGAGATCAAGGAGTACAACAGATGCAGCAGCCTATTGTTGTGTATCCAAACGCTTACAATAAACAGTATCCAGACCCTTCTTCTACAAAACCTTCTTCTTCCTCTGGCTCAAGCGGAAACTTTGGGACGGTCTTCATAGTCCTAGCCGTTATCTTTGTCTTGTCGGCTCTGGCTTGTGTCTTTGGCAGGCTATGTAACCGTGAAAGCCGTGCGGCTAAGCAGCAACATAGCAAGCATCCAAAGCATGAGAAAGCTTCTTCCAAGAAGAGCCGTGAGATTCGTCCCGTGGAGCGTGAGCCGAGGGAGAGAGGTGATATGGAGTTTGGGTTTGATATGAAACGGCCTGAGCCAGTTGAGAAACCTTCTGGAAGAGACGATGAAAGACATAGAGAGGACATAGAATTCGGATTTGATAACAAGAGAAGAGAAAGAGGCGAAGGCGAAGGCAGAGGCGGAGGAGGACCACCTCCACCGAGTATCAAACATGCAGTGAGGTTCAAGCTACCGGAAAATGGAGAACATCATTCTAAAGGAGAGATCAGACGTGGAGGTCCTGACTTCGAGTTCCGACCAGGACACTAATGATCTTAATTTGTCTAAGAACAAACTACTTTATGTGTATGTCTTAATTGCTTCCTCACTTTTATTTCTTTTGTGCCTTTTTCTTTTCTGGTTTGATTCGTTTTCCTTCTTATTGGTATGGATCTTAGAGCTGAAGCTATCAAACTTCTTATAGTCTCTTGGTGTGATGTATAAAGTAGACTCTCTACATATCAAAGGTACTAAATAAAATCCATAATATTTCTAAGTATATTTTGTAAGAATCAACAAATTTATAGAAGAACGTTTTTATCAGAATACAGAGTTCTTCTTCACTATCCTCTTCACTCAAACAAAAATTAGGAACACAGAACGGAGAAAAAGTAAAACAAGATACAAATAACTCTTTCACAACTTATCTGGGTTCTATTTTTCTTTTTTTCTGAGGGAATTTCGCCATTAAGAGGACAAAAACTAAAGGCACCTACCAAGAAATGCAAGATACGAAAAGAATGACTTTACAACGCCCAAGGAGGCAGAGGTATCTGTTACTTTCACCTATTGTATGATCAGAACCGTCGGTTATTGAAAGGCCGAGTCTCAGATTCATTCCCTGAGAAATCTGAAGAGCTTTTGGCAGAGTAGTTTCCACTGTACAATCCTGACTCTACACTGTTATCAACACCAAACGCCATTTTTCTGAATTTCATGATGTCTTCATTGTATTGCCCTGAGTCATAAGTTGTGCTTTGCCCAACTTTGATTCCGTTGCTAATATCTCCCGAGTCTCCGTCGCAGTCCAATGCTCTCACAACCTTATTTTGAAGAGTAGATAAGTTTTTTCAGATGTGATGAAATTAGAATCAAGAATTGTATAGTCTATAGAGCAATCCCTTGGTGCTATATATATGGGAGCTTTGGACTTTTGGTTAGTCAGAATTACCTGAACCATGCGTGGACGTTTTGGACCAGAATGTCTAACACATGCAGCGGCTGTCTCGATCATTCTGAAGACTTCATGCTCCACATAATGCTTTTCAAGCCGTCTATCAATAAGTTCGCTTAAATCTCCGGTCTCAATGGCTTTGAGAAGCAGCGGGCGCGCCTGTGAGTTCATGTATAAGTACTGCATAAGTAAACTAGGGCCAATCTCTTACTGTAATTGAAGAATGTTTGAAAATTGGATTTTTACCCATTCGACCAAACTCTCTTCTCCTAGAGGCTGACTCTGGTCAACTGGTTTCCGTCCAGTTACAAGCTCTAAGAGAACAACCCCGAATGAGAAAACATCGGATCTGTCAGTCAGTTTTCCACTTGATGCATATTCCGGCGCTAGGTACCTGAACACAAAACAAGTTAGCTAGATCCCTGTAATGCAGCCATAGGATCAAAAAGGTCCAGTTTTGGGGTAGAGTTTGTGATGAATGTTTGCTTACCCGAAGGTTCCCATAACCCGAGTTGAAACGTGAGTTTGTGTTGTATCATTGAGTCTAGCAAGTCCAAAATCAGCAACCTAAACACCCAAAAAAAAAACAAAAAAAAAACAAAACAAGTCTCATTAGCTAAAACTTTAAATTCATAAGATGGATATAAAGAAAAGGGGGATTTCATTATTGCCTGAGCTTCATATTCATCATCTAGAAGAATATTTGCTGACTTTATGTCCCGGTGAATGATTTTCGGATGACCTGTCATATAAAACAAAGATGTGATTCTGGCTTCAGTTTAAACTATGAAGTGCAAACCAAAACACAAAACTAAGAAAATGTGAAGGGATTACTTACAGTCTTCATGAAGATACGCCAACCCTTTGGCTGAGCCTATAGCGATCCGGACTCTCTTAGACCACTCTAAAACTGGCAAACCCTTTCCTAAAGCGTAAAGCGAGTCAGTCTAACACATAAAGCTAAAAATTCTTATCTATAACGAAAATGGTAAAAGCCACTCACCGTGCAAATGATGCTCCAAGGTTTGATTAGAAACATACTCATAGATAAGCAATCTATGCTGGTCTGAAATACAGTAACCGACCAGAGAGACCAAATGGCGATGGTGAACACGGCTGATGATCTCAACCTCTGCCTTGAATTCACGGTCACCTTGTCCACTTCCAGCTTTAAGCTGCTTAACCGCAACAACTTTACCATCCTGCAATGTACCTTTATAGACACATCCAAATCCGCCTTCTCCAAGAATGTTGTGGCGAGCAAAGCCTTGTGTTATCTCCGCAAGCTCTTCGTAACTGAAATGAGTCTGGCCACTTCCGAGTATAGCAGAGTCAGGTGTGCCACTGGATTGCATTTGATGATGAGGATAACCACCCTGTGTGCCGAAGCTGTTTCCCATAGAGGAATGTTGTTGCTGTGAATTGTACATTGAACCACCAGGACCAGAGGAGTAACCTTTACCTGGATCTTGACCGTATAAGAATCCATCTACATCAAAGCAAAGATGGTCAGAGAGATGATCCAAGCACATAGAAGATGATCAGAGAGATAAAGCAAAGATTTTTAACCTGATTTAACAGAGAAATTTGGATGTGGCAAGTACTGTGAGTGATTATAGCTATCAATGTTTCTCTTCTTCTTTCTTCTCACTAAGAACACAACCGCTATAAGCGCCATTATCGCGAAACCCGCTACAGCCATACCAACCATAGTCTTTCCTTGATAGCCGCCGCCATCTCCATTGCCTTGGTTTGGAGAAGGCATTCCTTTGCTGGGAACTGTGAGAGATGGAGAAACGATAGGTCCACCGGAAGCAGTTTTGGGTGGTGCTGTGTAGAATGGGCTCGGCGGCGAGTTGGGATTAGCCGGAGGAGAAGTGGCTGGTCCTGATGGTTGAATTAGGGGAGGATTGGTAGGGTCTGATGGTGGAGCTGGAGGTGAATTGGTAGGATCTGATGATGGTGGAGCCGGAGGAGATTGTGACGGTGGTGATTCCGGGTTCGTGGGTCCTACACTCGGCGAAGATGGAGGAGGAGATTGAACATCTTGAGACGGAGGAGGGTTGTTGTTATTGGATTCATTTGGTGGAGCCGGTGGTGTTTCAGAATCCGCCGGAGGAGAAGGCGATTCGTTTGACGTCGGTGGCGGCGGAGAAGGTGTTGAATCAGCTGGTGGAGAAGAATCAGAAGGTGGAGGTGGAGAATCTGTTAATGGAGGTAGAATCGAAGGTAAAGGAGGAAGCTGTGAATCGGGTGGAGGAGGCGACGGTTCTGACGGCTGCGGTGGTGATGAATCAGCCGGTGGACTAGGAGGAGAAGAATCAACAGGTGGAGGAGCAGAATTTCCAGATGAAGTATCTGGCGGAGGAGCTGAATCAGCTGGTGGTGCTGGTGGTGAAGAACTCGGCGACTCGCCTGAGTCTGACATTTTTTTCCTAATTCAAAATTGATCAATAAAACCCAGAAATTGCAACTTTTTCTGAGATTTTATATCAATTTACGAAGAACCCAATAATCTCAAGTCTTCAAAATCCCTACTTTGTGAAAAATTTCCCAGAAACAATTCAATCGAATTATGATTAATACAGAAAAAAAAATTATCAGAAAACTAGGGTTTATAAAATTCCAGGAGCTTGAGAAATCAGGTGGAGAGAGAGAGGAGAAAATGCGAAGCCAATACAGACTTTAATTTCTAAGGTCTCTTCTCTCTCCCTCAAACTTTCTTTTCCCAGGAAAAGAATAATAAAAGGAATCTAACAAAAAATCGCCATGATCATATTTTAGTGATGATGATGATAAAAGTCGAAGGCACGTCGTCGTCTTCTCTGTGTTTTTTTTTGCTTTTCCTCATCGTATTGTTTCTCTTGGGATGTCACACCTTGATTCTCGGATTACCGCGTAAATTAAACGGAAAATTTTGAAGTTTAATCGGACCTTATCGACCCGACCCGAGTATCTATCTCATTGAAGAACTTTCTAGCACGATGACAAAAGGGAATCTTTATCGGGCCTTTTCATTATTGGGCCTATCGGGACGATGCTAAAGCCCATTATTAATACAGTCGGTCTTAATAATAGATTTGTTTGTTTGATAGCAGAAAATGACACCTCTTTGTTGTTGGTGTTAGTTACTAATTAATTACTCGTTGTTGTTCATCATAAGTTCGTAATTTTTTTTTTGTTGATATTAAATTTTTCTATATTCACCGTACTAATGCTCCCATTTAGAGAATTTTCTATAAAATTTGATAAAAAAAAAAGAAGAAGAAGAAGATATTTTTCTATCAAATAAGTAAAACAAAACTTTAGCCACTCGAGCAAGGCATAGCTTTAAATGGAAGACCTATCACAATTACCAAATTTATTACCTAAAATTGCTATATCTATCTGATCATCCTATCTTCTTCTTTTTTCCTCCAATCTAACTCAACCATATATTTATATTAATTTCCCTTATCATAAATGTATTTACATTTTCCTTAACCAAAATTCTTACTAAACTAGTAGTACTCAAACCAAGATATTTTTTCTTCCTTATATAAGCTCAAAAACAAACTTATCCTAAAATTAAGAACACGTCATTAAAAATGATAACAACGCCAACACCAAGCCATTAATTTCCTTAGCGTGGCAAGTAACGTGATCTTAGTAAAGGGGTAATATAGTCATTGACTCATTTCACATAAAGAAAAAAAAAAAAAATCTTGTCGTGCAAGCAGAAAAGTAACGGCACCGCTAACAAAAACCGTTTATACGGAGAGAACGACGATTCTGACCACCTGTAAATAAACAACACTTAGCTTTCTTCTTCTTCTACATTCTTCATTTTTCCCCTTTCCCCAAGAAAACTTCTCTTTCTCTCTGTTTTTTTTTTTTTTTTGTGGTGATAATGGCGGCGCAGGTCGAAATTGAGGACCAAGCGTCTGTCACCAACCTTGATAATGGCGAAATCTTCGATTCACTCTCCGACGATGCTGATTCTTCTTCTTCTTTCTCCAAAACCGACTCTCTGATTCTTCTCGGTGAAGGAAACCCAGAGCACGATGTTATCAAGACGTGTTTACTCTCTGGAATGGGTGTTGTTTCTAGCGACACGACGATCGTGACGATTCGGAAAAACTCATCGGAAGGAATCACGACGAGAGCTAAGTTTCTTTCCTTTAGGATTTTCACTGACGCTGTGGCTAGGAAACACGGCGGAGATGCGAATGTTAAATATGGTTGGTACGCCGGTTCTAAAGATGAGATTCAAAGTATCATCTCTTACGGATTTAGTAATCGCGATGTTGGAAAATTCGAGAATGATGGTTGTTCTCATGGAATTGGAATCCATTTGGTTCCTTCTAAGTGTTCTCTTCTTGCGTAAGTCTGAGATCTCTTCACTGATTTTGAGCTATTGAATTGGGAATTTGTGTGGTGATGATGTAACAGTGAAAGCTAATTTTGCAGGGCTTCAGCTACAGAGCCAGATGAGGAAGGATTAAGATATCTTCTCTTATGTCGTTTGATCTTGGGGAAACCTGAGTTAATCGTTTCTGGTTCAAAGCAATCGTATCCGAGTTCAGCTGAGTTTGATTCTGGTGTGGATGATTTACACAATCCTAGAAACTATGTCATATGGAGTTGTAACATGAATTCGTTTATTCTTCCGAGTTATATCGTCAGTTTTAGGTCTCCTCGTCTTAGAGGTTAGAAACATTTTCTTTCTTTAAGGTTTCTTTGTAGTGAATTGTGATTTCTTTGTTGCTAAAGGATTGGTTTGGTGTGTTGTTTTTCAGTAAGTAGAGGTGGTTTTGCTGCAAGACCAAGCTCGCCGTGGGTTAGTTTTGCCGCCCTGATGTCAATGTTGTCTAAATCAATGGATCCTTCAAGAATGAACTTGATCATCCGAACTTACGATGATTTTCAGGTATGGAATCCTGTTTACTTATTGTATGTTCTGTTCTATGATGATTCTTGATATTCATTACTTAGATTCAATGTGGGTTTATATTGCAGAAACGGAAGATCAGGAGAGACCAATTGGTTAGGAAGATGAGAGAAGTGGCTGGAGACAATCTTTTGGCTGAGATAATCAAGAATCACAGAGACAAAAACAAGGTCAAGAATTAAAAAAATACATCATGAGGTAAGCAAGAGTCTTTATTTATTCTCAACTAATCAATTTAATGTAAAGTGAATGTTCTTATTCTTACTTATGGAGCAAGGTTTGTCAAACTTGGTTTTCTTTTATTGGGGTATATATATGAAAAAGTGACCTTTTTCTTGTCAAACACCACATCAGCTTATATACCTTTAGACGTGTGTTGATTGTTGATCCAAGTCATGCAATGTTTGAGTCCATTCATTTGCTTTGGTTAAACGTATTGGAATTTTAAGAATTGTCTTTGACTTTGTAGAATATTATTGACCTTTTCTTTCTTCTTCTATTACTTGCAGAGAAGTCCACACGTGTGAAAGATGACAAGAAAAAAATCATAAGAAGATCACACACGTATATAGACAAGCTTCAAATCATATGTGGAAGGAACTATATGAGAGTCTTAAAGCATTTTTTTTTCCATAGTTTCTGTTAGTGGTAAAAACAGAGGATTCCTTTTGGGAAACTTGTAAAGAGCTTGAAAGTTACAAATTTCCAGAACAATCAAGAAATTCCAAAATCACAATCTCTTTAACTACATTGTCTTAGGATTAGTACATCTCCTCCGCTTAGTTCTCCTATGCGATCTCCATCTTTCCTTAATGTCATCAGCTTTGCTCTTCTCGAATACAACGTTTTCTTCTTGATCAGCAATATAGCCTCCTCCTTTTCCTCCCCGAAGTCTAGTAGCTTCAGCGAAAAGATCTTCGATCATACTCTCTGTGGTTTTAATGGTGATCCCACGTATGTACCAAGAAAGTGGCGGTGGAGTAAGAAGAGCAGAAGGCTGAAACATCTGATCCATTGTCACCTTCGATCCGATCCTTCCTCGTCCGTTGCTACAGCTGTGGTATTCTTCTTGAGATTTTGGCTTTGAGCGCTCACACAAATGTTCGTCTATAAATAATGGTTCAACTTTCCAACAACCCTCAAATACTTTCATGAACATTGTTGTCTCTTGCTTATATATTGACTGGCCTCAAGAAAAAACAAATTGAGTTTATGAAGATAGAATAAAAGGATTGATTTTGCGCTAGAAAATATATCTTACAGTGAGATTTTTCCGGTTTTCTTCGACAATGAGATGTATAGGGCAAGTTCCAGCCCACCAAAGGAACTTCCAGGCCGCGGCTTGCTTCACCTCCACGGTCTGCTTTAGCCCTTCGCTGATCAAAACTTTTCTCGATATGTTTTCCTATTTAGGATTAAGACCTATGTCTCAAATATATGCTGGAAATACTCAATTCAAATCAAACAAAACAAGACCATACACAAGCACCTTGATGTTTTTGAAGTATCTTTTGTTGTCTGGATGAGTGAAAATGTTGTAGACTAATTCAGGAGGCAATCCTACGTCTGCTTCAACGTTAAGATGACAAAACAAACCATTTTGTGATTTCACCTGCAAACATAAGAATTTAAGAATCATATCTTTGTCTAAATTCTACCAAATCTAAGTTTTGGGATTTGTTTTTGGTTCTAAATATTACCACCACTTTAGGAGGTTGATCTATCCATGAAGGATTATCTCTCCAAGCTTGTAATTGCTTCTCTAACTTCTCCTCATCTCTATGCTCATCATAAATAGTCTCTATCTTTGACACCGACTTAACCAAGCTTAGCTCTTTAACATTCCTTAATCTCTTGAACTCAGCCTACAACAACAACAAGAATCATAATCTAACTAAATTTCTATATTTAAATAAGCTTCTTGAGATGGAAATAAAAGTTTGACCTTAATAGGCTCTTGAATTGTTTGATTCATCCATACCAAAAATCCAGGAAACACAACATTGTTTTCAAACAATTTAACGAAACCTATACCGCTCTTCTCCTCTGATCTTGAAATTTCAGATCCACCCATTTTGTTTCTGTAAAATTAGGTCACAAAAACAGAGGAAGATGACAATGAGAGATCAAAAGTCAACGATGTGGGTTGAGGAAAAAACACATAGAGAAAGGTTTGATTAATCAAAGATTATAAATGAATTTGGTGATTTAATGATAATAACAACAAGAATCAGTTGGGTAGAGGTTAGAGTGTACCTTACGCATCAAGAACTAAATATATGGGACAAGTTCCATTCTCGTGACTTGTGAGTTCTCTCTTTCGACGTTAAAGCATGTGCGTAAAATCGGCCGGACATTACTTTAAACTTGTGTTTCACTTGTAGGCAATCGAACATGTGAAACTCTAACCTGTGTCTCCTCTACCACAAGATCAAAAATCGACTCTGGTTTGCAATTCATATCCAATAATTGATCTTTCCCTTTTTTTTTTTTGGCCACTTTCCAAGCTTCTCTAATCTAACCTGCTAATGTCTTTGTTGAATAAGAACTTTTTTTCTTGTCGGTGTCGAATTAACATTTTGTTTTTATTTTTTTCTTTGGAAAAGGTGGCTGGAGAGCTACGTGACATCCAAGTATCATGGACTTAAGATCTGTAATTAATGGGCCTATTAGCCGATTCTGAATATAGTTTCTTATGAAAAAGATAAAGGCCCATAACCACACGTATACTATTAAATGTAGTGTCAAAAGTTGTGTAAAATGTTTAGGTGGATCCGCAAACAATGCATGTCACCATGCATGGCATGATATGACGTGATAGAAGAGATAAAGTTTCATAAAAAGCAAGTAAGGGCATCGAGTTGGGCCTAACATATAAATTGAGGGATACAACTTACAACATATATCCATGTATATTCATTTAACCTAGTGTTTTCAATGTTTGTTGTTTTCCTTTTTTCTTCGTGATTTTGTTACGTTTCCATCTTTGTCTGTTGAAGTCACTACACCTGGATTTCGAAGGGTTATACCCCAAGTTTGAAGTGTTTTGAGCGCAGTTTTGGTGTTCTTGATGGTGACCTCTCGAATATACCAAGATAGTGGCGGCAGATTAAAAGGAGGATATGGCTTAAAGTATTGATTCATTGTCACCTTTGATGCAATCCTTCCTTGTCCGCCGCTACATCTTTTGTATTCTTCCGGACTCTTCGGCTCCATATTATTGCACAAGCTTTCTGAATCTACGTACAGTGGCTCCACTTTATAGCTACCTTCGAACACTTTCATTAAGATCATTTTCTTTTTCTTATATTTTGCCTGTGCATAATCACCAAGAGATACCCAAGTTAAGTTTCACCAATACAATACAAAATATATTGATTATTGTTAGGGCGTTTAGAGAAACCTCTTACAGTAAGATCTTTTCTGTTTTCATCGACAATTACACTTATGGGGACAGCAAAAGACGACCCAAGGAATTTCCAGTCCACGGTTTTCTTTACCTTCGCGACCTGCCTCGGTCCATCCTCCATCAAAACCTTTCTTGATCTGTTTTCCTTCATAAAAAAAAAAGTACACTCTCAAGTATTGCTACAATTAATACCACATCTGAATAATACAATGAATGGTAAGAAAAAAACCAGAGGTGGGGAGAGAAAAAATGGTCCATTAGATGGATCAGTAAAAAATCCGAAGACTTTATCTGGAGGAAATCCCAATGTCAATTCTATGTTCATATGACAAAGACCATTTTTTGTTGTCTCCTACAAACATCAAAAATATAAGTAAATTTTAAGATCTTTATTCTAATTCCATTAAAGGCAAAAAAATCTAAGTATTGAGATTTTGTTTGCTTTTTTGTTATTATTACCTTCACCTTTGGAGGGGCATCATTCCATGGATGTTTCTTCTCTGCATCTATCCAAAGTTGATCTTGTTTCTTCATCTCTTCTTCGTCATAATATTTTTTCATCTTATCATAGTCATCATTAGTATCCATTTCTGGCTCTGACTTAGATTCAACATTTTCAGTTTTTTTGGGCTTGGCCTACAACAACACACATAATCATAATCTAGTTTCTACAAGGGATTTGTTCTGTTTTATGGAAATGAAACTGACCTTACGAGGCTGTTCATTATTCTGAGAGACCCAGCCACCAAATCCAGTAAATACCATTTTTATTTGAGATTAGTCCACAAGCTAAGTTACGAAATGTCGACAATAGAAAATGACGATACAAAGCTTGTATATGATATGGTTTAAGGAATCTTAGCTAAACTCTTGAGAGAATGATGTACGTTAAGTTTTACGCACGACTAAACAATGAAGTGGGCAGCTCAATTCTCGTGAGTGATATTGACGTATAGACGAGACCTACCTGAGGAAAGAGGAGATCAAAGGTTTGATAAATTTGAGAATAATTACGCTTCCTCTCATTTTTTCTATGTGATCCCTTTTGGTGTAACTCGGCATAATTAGTATAGTAATACTAACTTGATAGATTCCCAAACGGAGTAACACACTAATCCATTCCCTATTGATGAGAAAACGACCTCAAAACCCTTTCTCATCGTCATTGCCTCCTTGGAGAGTTCGTATCCAACCCGGCTCCCTTCGAGTTTGAGCCATTGCTATACTAAGAGATGGACAGAAATTGCTGGTTGAGCTCTACCTTATTTTATGTTTCATAGAAATACAAAAGAAATTATATCGAAATACAAGCTTATTAAGGAGATTTATTCATTTTTATGGAGTATTTTATTTGGAAGCGAGATAAAAATTCTATTTTTGGCTGAGTTTGTTGTGCTCAAATATTCTAAATTCTAACATCAATATCTTGCAAAATAATAATTTGCAAAAAGACATTAGTGTTTGCCGATTTTATTTACGTACTATCTCTCTCCCAAAAATTAATTGGAAAAGAAATTAAATTTTGTTTCATCAATATGTTCCAAAAAATTTAAATGGTTGATGGCATTGATCGTAAATAATTATGTTAATACAATGTGTTAATTTTGATAGTAAATAATCGATTTTAATGAGACTGATTCTGAGCACTCAAAATTAAAAAAATGACTTCCCAATTAATTAATGTTTAGGAGAAATTTCTGTTTTTCCATGTTTGTTGGTTGACATGATTACACCTGGATTTCGAATACTGAAACTCCAAAGTTGAAGTCTGTCTAGCACATTTTTGGTATTCTTTATGGTGATATCACGAATGAACCAAGATAGTGGCGGCAGATTAAAAGGAGGATATAGCTGAAAGTATTGGTCCATTGTCACTTTCGATGCAATCTTTCCTTGTCCGCCGCTACATTTTCTGTATTCTTCTACACTCGTCGGCTCCTTGTTCTTGCATAACCGTACTGAATCTACATATAGTGGCTCCACTTTATAGCTACCCTTGAACACTTTCATCAACATCATTTTCTCTTTCTTGTATTTTGCCTGTCCACAAGATAAACCCAAGTTAAACTTCACCAATACAAAACAAAAGATATTGATTATTGTGAGGGGGTATAGAGAAGCTTCTTACTGTAAGATCTTTTCGGTTTTCATCGACAGTTATACTTATGGGGACGGAAAAAGACCTCCCACTGAAGTTCCAGGCCAAAACTTTCTCCACCTTAGCGATCTGCCTCGGTCCATCCTCCTTCAAAACCTTTCTTGATTTGCTTTTCTTCATAACAAAAAGAGTACACTCTAAAGTATTGCTACAATTAATACCACATTTGAATCATAAAATGATAAGAATACCAGAACGGGTTCGGTGTTTGGTCCGTTATGTGGATTAGTGAAAAGTTCGAAGACTCCATCAGGATGCAACCCCAATGTCAATTCTATGTGCATATGGCAAATACCCTTTTTTGTTGTCACCTTCAAACATAAAAAAAAATTCAATCTTTAATCTTAAGTCTACCAATTCCTTTAAATATATAAGTATTAAGATTTTGTTATTACTACCTTATTTGTTTTTTTGGAATGAGTGTAAAATTTATTCAACCAAAAAAAAATACCTTTTTACAATGTAACCTTGTGCTAAATAGTTTTAAAAGAGTTGCTATTACTACCTTAACCTTAGGAGGGGCATCTTTCCATGGATGCTTCTTCTCTGCAGCTGTCCAAAGTTTATCTTGCCTCTCCCACTCATTTTCGTCATAATATCTCTTCATCTTCGCAGGACCATTATCCATCTCTGACTTAGATTCAACATTTTTAGAGCTCTTAGGATCAGCCTACAACAACAAAGAGAATTATAATCTAGTTTAATATACGATGGACTAATAATAATAGTTTATATTAATTTGACCTCAAGAAGCTGTTGAGAGTTCTGACTGATCCATGCACCAAATGCAGAAAATACACCCATTTCTCTTTCAAATTATAGGTCCAAAAAAAAAACGACGATCCAATGCTTGTATTCAATATGGTTTTGAAGAATCTATAGCTAAAATGGCTGCATTTTGAGAGAGTGGTGTACGTTAAGTTTTACGTACAGCTAAATAATGCAGCGGGTAGCTCAATTCTCGTGAGTTATTGACGTATAGGCGAGACCTACCTTAGGAAAAATAAGATAGAAGCATGAACGTCATCTAGGAAAATTCCATACCATAAACCGAAATTAGTTTGAGTTTAGAATAGAAATACAAAATCGTATAATCATAACCATATATAATTCTTGCGTTGGAATCTAGGAATTACAGTTTTACCAACGTTTCAGAATCGTGATTAATTTGGTGCCAAAATGGCATAATATAGATTTGACCCCAAAATTTATAAATTTAGATATAGACGGTCCAATTTTTTCAAATCAGGATCTGATCTCGAAGTACTCAATCATAGAATGTAAATTCATGCACAACCATGAATTTTGTGTTGAATTTGAGGAAACCTGATTTAGAGCTTAAATATCATTACATTTATCATATAAATTTATTAATCTACATAGAGACAAGCATTATAGTTATTAAATAGAGTTTATACAAAATAAAAAACGAAGAAAAGTACATCCAAACTATAATACAAATACTAAAACTAAGTCTAGAAACGACATAGAAAACCCTAACAACTAGGAAGAAATCTCCCAATTCACCCTTGTGCTAAGAACTTTCGTACGGGTCTACTCGCATCTTGGCACCCATATCTTGAAGCATTTTGAGCAGAGTCGTGGTGGTCTTGACGGTGGTCCTACGAATGTACCAAGAAAGCGGCGGCAAATTAAAAAGAAGATATGGCTGAAAGTATTGGTCCATTGTCACTTTCGATGCAATCTTTCCTTGTCCACCACTACATTTTTTGTATTCTTCTGGACTCTTTGGCTCCTTGTTCTTGCACAAGCGTTCGGAATCTACATAAATTGGCTCCACTTTATAGCTACCCTCGAACACTTTCATGAACTTCATTTTTTGTTTCTTATATTTTCCCTGTCCACAATATGCAAGAGAATTATCTAAGCTAAGTTTCACCAATACAAAACCAAAACATTGATTCTTACGAAGGATATAGAGAAGCTTCTTACTGTAAGATCTTTCTCATTTTCATCGGCAATTAGATTTATCGGCATACCTCCAGACCACCACAGGAAATCCCAGGCCACAACTTTCTCTACCTCCACTATCTGCCTCGGCCCATCCCTCTTCAAAACCTTTCTTCTTTTGTTTACCTTTATAACAAAAAGAGTACACTTCCAAGTATTGCTATGTACGATTAGTATATACCACATTTAATTCACACAATGATAAGAGGAAAAAAACCAGAAGTTGGCGCCAAGACTTGTCACTGAAGAGTGGTAAGTTGTTTGGATTAGTGAAAAGCTCGTAGACTGATCTTGGAGGCAATCCAAATGTCATTTCTACGTACATATGGCAAAGACCCTTTTTTGTTGTCACCTTCAACCATAACAAAATGTAAGAAATTGTTAGGATTTTATCTTAACTCAAGCAATTCTTCTAATAGGAAAACAAAATTTCGTTAGCATTTTTTGACAAAAAAATTAAAAGAAAAGAAAAGAAAAGATTTGGTCTTACCTTCACTTTAGGAGGGGCATCATACCATGGATGCTTCTTCTCTGCATCTCTCCAAAGTTTTCCTTCCTCCATCTCCTCATCGTCGACATTATTAGAATTCATATCTGACACTGACTTAGATCTATTATTCTCAGATTTCTTGGACTCGGCCTACAACAACAAACAGAAACATACTCTAATTTCAATATTTAATCCATGAAACCTAATCATATATATTAACCATATAATTTAGCTTATATTTGACTTTTGGGCTCTCTGATTGATGGAAATGAAACTTACTTTAAGAGGCTGTTCCATATTTTGATTTATCCAGCCACTAAATCCAGGAAATACACTCAATCCTCTCTGAAATTTTAGTCCATGCATGCATGAACGATACTTTCCTAATCAGAACAAGAGCAAATGACTATCCATTCTTGTATATATTATGGTTTGAGCAATATGAGATTAAAACTTGTATGGAATCGAAAAGAATATCGAAAGGGGGGTAGTGTACGTTATGTTTACCTACCGCGGAAAAATGAAGTGGGAAGCTCGAATTTTGTGAGTTCTTGACGTATAGGAAAGATCTACCTATAGAAAGAAGGCATCGTAGGTTTTAATATCTCGTGAGAACTTTTCCAATTTTATATACCATGAAATAAAGATCCTTTAATGCATCGGTCAGAATTTAGCGGATATTTACACATTTGTTCCACATATTGAATTTTGTCTATTAGTGTTGCAAATTGAGGTACACGAGCATACAAATGTGCTTTCAAAAGTTTAAGTTTACATATGCTAATGTTTGCCATTTCTGTTTTATTTTGTTTTGTTTTGTTGATTCAAATGAAAAGCATTTATTTATTTATTAATTTTCTATTTGGATTTAATGCATAATAAAGAGACTATCTATTTTTAAGTGACTTTACAAAAAAATCTAATCAAGTGGAAACATCACTTTTGTGGATCATGATAACATATTTTCTAAGATCTTCAAGCAACATTTTGGTGATTTTGATGGTGATACCACGGATGATCCAAGAAACCGGTGGCAGATTAAGAAGAGAAGAAGGCTGGAAGATAAGCTCCATTGTCACCTTTGATGCAATTCTTCCTCGTCCGCCGCTACATTTTTTGTACTCTTCTTGACTATTCACCGATCTAGACTTGCAAAAGCGCTCCTGATCTGCGTATAGTGGTTTCACTTTCCAGCTACCCTCGAATACTTTCATGCACTTCATTTTCTTTTTCATATATTTTGCCTAAACAAGAGATCAAACTCGAGATTAGTTCACTCAAATCTGAACAAAAGCAGTTGATTTTTGTGAGGAATATAGAGAATATTTCTTACTGTAAGATTTTGATGGTTTTCATCGATAATGAGATGTATCGGGATAGCTCCAGACCAACAAAGGAGCTTCCATCTTAAATCTTTCTCTACATCCGTGATCTGCCTCGGTCCATCCTTCTTCAAAACCTTTGTTGATTTATTTTCCTTCAATATGAAAAATACCACACTCTCTAGTATTATTGCTATAATTAATACTCAACTCGAATCATACAAGGATATGAAGAAAAGAAAAACCAGAAGTTGCCCGGTCTCATCCTCTCTGAAGTATGGTAAATTTCTTGGGTTAGTGAGCATTTCATAGACTGCTTGAGGAGGCCATCCCAATATGAATTCTATGTTCATATGGCAAAGACCCTTTTTTGTTCTCACCTTCAAACATAAAAAATGTAAACAAGTTATAAGATCTTTTTTCTTAATCCTAGCATTTCCTCTAAAGGCAAAAAAAAACATCTAAAAGTATTGAGATATTGTTAGCTACTTTCCTCCTACCTTCACTTTAGCAGGAGCATCATACCATGGAAGCTTATTCTTTGCAACTATCCAAAGTTCTACTTGCCTCTTTACTTCTTCTAAGTCATAATATTTAGGATCCACCACATACAGTGCCTTAGATCTAGGATGCCCAGGTTCCATGGACTCGGTCTACAACAAGAAACACAATTGTAACATACTTTCCATAAATATTTAACCAATATATTGGTTGCTAATTTGCTCTTACCTTACCAGGTTCATCATACCATGGCTTTAGATTTGTATCTTTCTCAGACATTGAATTAGATGTAACATTCTCAGATCTCTTGTACTCGGCCTATAACAACAAACTGAATCATGATCACAAATTTGTATAAATAACGAATATAGTAGTTTATATTAATTTGACTTGTCAGATTCTCTGATTAGTATAAACATGAATCTGACCTGAGGAGGCTGTTGAATGTTTTGATTGATCCAGCCACCAAATCCAGGATATACACTCATTTCGCTCTCAATTTTTGGTCCACAACAAATGATACATACCTAATCAGAACAAGAGCAACCAACGTACGTTTGAATATTATATATTTTGAGGAAACTGAGATTAGAGCTTGATTAAGATTTAGACAAAATACAAAATGAAATTGTACGTTATGTTTTACGTACCGTGCAACAAAGAAGTGTGTCAGCTCCATTCCCGTGAGTTCTTGACGTATAAGCGAGACCTACCAGAAACCTGAAGAAGGAGGAGATCAAAGGTCGATAAATCCGTCCAAGTTTGATTTGTTTCTGAGAAAAATAAAGAAACAAGATATTGGGGAATATATCTTTATGTTAATAATATCTTAGAAGATATACATTGTTGAGATTAGGAAATCTTATAGCTTGATCTCCAAGTCTAGTTTAACCTAGAGTTCTCGAGTATATATATGTGATGTAATCGTTGGTTAATGAATAAGAAAGAACGCATTCATCTAAACCTAAACACTTCTTCTTTCTACATGGTATCAGAGCAACGGTTCTGATTCATCGTTCTTTTGTTTTTTTTCAAAATTCTCTGTTTCGTTTTTTTTTCTCCCTGTTTCTTTGTTTGATCTTTGATTAAGATCTGTTTCGATGGCTGAAGAAGAACTAGCGTTGGTTCCTAAGGTGATTGACAGCACCAAGGTGACGCCGTATTCACTGTTCTCCGGTGATAACCCTGGCTCCATGATTTCCTCCGTTCAATTAACTGGAGAAAATTATGCAGAATGGGCTACGGAGATGCTCAACGCTCTTAAAGCTAAGAGGAAGTTGGGGTTTATTGATGGTTCGATCAAGAAGCCCACGGCTGCAGGTACAGAGATGGAAGCGTGGACCAGTGTGAACTCAATGGTTGTTGGATGGTTGAGGACTTCAATAATTCCAAGGGTTCGATCCACGGTGTCTTTTATTTCCGAGGCAGCTGAGTTGTGGGATAACTTGAAGAAGAGGTTCTCGGTTGGGAACAAGGTGCGTACGCATCAAATCGTGTGTCAGCTTGCGGCGTGTCGTCAAGATGGCCAATCCGTGATTGATTATTACGGACGTTTGGTGGTTTTGTGGGATGAGCTCTACACTTATCGTCCTCTCCCGGTTTGCACTTGTGGTGCTAGTGAGAAGTTTGCAAAAGAGAGAGAGGATGAGAAGGTTCATCAGTTTGTAATGGGTCTTGATGAGTCCCGTTTTGGTAATGTGATTTGTGCAATCACAGATGCTGACCCTATGCCTGATCTCGCACAAGCTTATGCAAAGGTGATTCGGGAAGAACAGAGACTTGTCGCTTCGAAGAAGAAGGAACAACAGCAAGATGCTATCGGTTTTGTCACTCGTCGCGAGCCGGGTCCTGACTCTTCTCTTGTGGCTGGTGATGTCTCTGGCTTTGCAACGCGTTTTTCTCCAAGTGGTGGTCGTGGCTCGGGACGTCCTGCGTTGGTATGTTCAAACTGTGGCAGGACAGGACACGAAAAAGAGTTTTGTTGGCAAATTGTTGGCTATCCGGAGTGGTGGAATGATCGGAACAAATCTGGTGGTGGTCGCGGGTCAAGTCGCGGTCGTGGATCGAGTTCTGGTCCGTCGGGTCGTGGTCGTGGTTTTGCGACAGTGGCTCACGCCACCAGCCCTCATGCCTCTGCCTTTCCGTCGTTTACTTCTGATCAATGGAAGGTCATAAGTCAGATGGCTCAAGAGAAATCTAATGGCAACTCTGACAAGCTTTCTGGTAAGATGGTTTCTGGTAAGATTACTGAGGAGATGATTCTCGATACGGGAGCTTCTCACCACATGACAGGAAATCTCTCATTGTTAGTGAATATTACTCCAATTTCTGCTTGCTCGGTGGGCTTTGCGGATGGGAGTAAAACACTTTCGGAATGTATTGGTGTTTTTCATATTTCAGATCGTATAACTCTACGCGATGTGTTATATGTTCCCGACCTTAATTGCACTCTTTTATCTGTCTCCAAGCTGCTTAAACAGATTCAATGTGTTGCGTTGTTCACTGATACATTGTGCGTTTTGCAGGACCGTTTTTCGAGGACGCAGATTGGAGCCGGGACAGAGCGTGATGGGGTTTACTATTTAACGGATGTGGCAGCAGTACGGGGTAACAAAGTTGAGGTGCAGTGCGATTCGACTTTGTGGCATCGTAGGCTAGGACATCCTGCTTATTCAGTGTTTTCGTCTTTACCTATGATATCTAAAAATAAATTAGCTAGTCCAAGTCCTTGTGACGTTTGTTTTCGGGCTAAGCAAACAAGAGAAGTTTTTTCTGAAAGTTCAAATAAAGCTATGGATTGTTTTTCACTTATTCATGTGGACGTATGGGGTCCTTATCGAGTTTCAGCTTCTTGTGGAGCTGTGTATTTTTTGACAATTGTGGACGATTTTTCTAGAGCGGTATGGACATATCTTCTACTAGAAAAATCAGAAGTACGACGTGTTCTACAAAATTTTTGTGCCTATACCGAAAAACAGTTTAGTAAATCCGTCCGTATGGTTCGTAGTGACAATGGTACGGAGTTTATGTGTCTATCTCAGTATTTTAAAGACAATGGCATCGTTCACCAAACCTCTTGTGTTGACACTCCTCAACAAAATGGGCGTGTCGAAAGGAAACATCGCCATATTTTAAATGTGGCCCGATCTCTTCTTTTTCAAGCCAATCTTCCGGTTACATTTTGGGGTGAAGCTATCTTGACCGCTGCATATCTTATTAATAGGACTCCGTCCAAGGTTCTTAATGGCAAGACACCATATGAGCTTCTCTTTGGCGAGAAACCATCATATGATCAGTTGAAAGTCTTTGGTTCATCATGTTACACTCATAGGCGTTCAAGAGACAAAGATAAATTTGGAGAAAGGAGTCGTCATTGTATTTTTGTGGGGTACCCGTTTGGTAAGAAAGGCTGGAAAGTCTATGATATGGAGACAAATGAATTTTTAGTCTCACGGGATGTGGTGTTTCAAGAAAATATTTTCCCTTTCAACAAAAACATAGAAGAACAGCCGGTGCTCCATGAAAATGTTGATGAGGATTGGATCATTGATTTGTCACCAGTTGTTGATGTAAGGGGGAGTGAGTCTCAAGATGAATGTGTTGCAACTATAACTCCGGAATCTCCTGCTTCATCGGGTAAATCTGGGCCAACTTCCGCAGTTTTCTCACCGGAGTTGTCGTCGCAAAGTGTTAGTAACCAAGAAACAGAACAAGTTGAAATGGGACAAGGGAAGCGTCAAAAGTTCCCATCGGTTCGTCTAAAGGATTTTGTGACTCACGCTGCTCGTTGTGATCAAGACCCCCATCATGCTTCTTCCGTCTCCGATCCAGCCTCCTCGTTTTCGGTCCAAGGTACCACACCATACCCTCTCACGAGTTATATTTCTGATGATATGTTTTCTTCCCGCCATAAAGCTTTCTTAGCAGCCGTTCTTGATGGTGTTGAACCAACATCCTATAAGCAAGCCATACTTGATCCTCGTTGGACAAATGCTATGGGAACAGAGGTTGGTGCTCTTGAAGATAGTGGTACATGGAGTGTTGTTGATCTCCCTCCTGGAAAAGAAGCTATTAACAACAAATGGGTTTACAAAATCAAGCTCAATGCGGACGGTTCGGTTGAACGTTATAAAGCCCGGTTAGTTGCCTGTGGCAATCGTCAAGTCGAAGGTGAAGACTATAACGAGACATTTGCTCCTGTGGTCATGATGAAAACAGTTCGTAGTTTGTTAAAAATTGTTGCGGCCGAGAAGTGGGAGGTACATCAAATGGACGTTCATAACGCTTTTCTCCATGGCGACTTAGAAGAAGAAGTCTACATGAAATTGCCGGTTGGTTTCCGTCACTCCGATCCTAACAAGGTATGCCGTTTACACAAGTCGCTATATGGGCTTAAGCAGGCCCCTAGGTGTTGGTTTGCGAAACTCTCTTCAGCTTTGACAAAGTTTGGATTTGTTCAGTCTTACTCGGATTACTCGCTCTTCACTCTTTCACGGGCTGGGGTGGAGCTTCGTGTTCTTATATATGTCGATGATTTGTTGATTTGTGGTAATCATCCGCGTATGCTTCAAAGTTTTAAAGAGTATTTGGGGAGGTGTTTTCACATGAAAGATTTGGGAAAAGCAAAATATTTTTTAGGCATTGAGATTGCAAGAAGCTCAGAAGGTATATATCTTTCTCAAAGAAAATATGCTCTTGATATAGTTAAAGAGGCTGGTCTTATTGACTCTAAACCAGCAGCAACTCCTATTGAACAAAATCATAAATTGATTTCCAATGAGAGTGCGTTTCTTCCTCGTCCTGAAGAGTACCGACGGTTAGTTGGTCGTCTTATATATCTCCTTACTACCCGACCAGAACTTTGCTACTCTGTTCACATTTTGTCTATGTTCATGCAAAAACCCCGTGTTGATCATTGGGATGCGGCGCTCCGTGTTGTGCGATATTTGAAGGGTTCTCCGGGTCGTGGTGTATTACTCACCTCCGAGCCTGACCTGACTTTAACTGCATATTGTGATTCTGATTTTAGTTCATGTTCTACTTCGCGTCGTTCGTTAAGTGGCTATGTAATGTTTTTGGGAGGGTCTCCGATATCTTGGAAGACGAAGAAGCAACAGGTTGTGTCTCATTCGTCGGCCGAAGCGGAGTACCGCTCCATGCGAAATGCGTTGAATGAGGTTCGGTGGTTGAAGCAACTTCTTGAGGATTTGGGATATCCACAGTCGCAGCCCATTCAACTATTTTGTGATAGTAAGGCTGCAATTCACATTTCTTCTAATCCCGTTTTCCATGAAAGGACTAAACATATTGAGCGAGATTGTCACGCGGTCCGTGATGCTGTACAAGACGGGACACTCACAATGGTTCATGTTCGTACTCATGATCAACTCGCGGATTTGTTAACTAAAGCTTTGGGTCGTGTACCGTTTGAAGGCTTATCTTCCAAGTTGGGCATTTGTGATCTTCATGCTCCAACTTGAGGGGGAGTATTGGGGAATATATCTTTATGTTAATAATATCTTAGAAGATATACATTGTTGAGATTAGGAAATCTTATAGCTTGATCTCCAAGTCTAGTTTAACCTAGAGTTCTCGAGTATATATATGTGATGTAATCGTTGGTTAATGAATAAGAAAGAACGCATTCATCTAAACCTAAACACTTCTTCTTTCTACACAAGAGCACGATATATAGCTTTTGTCCTCTCTGTTTGATTTACTGAGAAAATCTAAATCATCCTCTTTTCTATTAATTGTAAAATTAGATTTTGTCAGAAAATAACCCTTTCTCCAAAAAAAAAGAAAAAAAAAACAAAAGATTTTTTCCTTCTGATAGATTCTTCCTTGTTTTTAATGTTTTTGCCTAGGAAAAATCTCTTGTATTAAGAATTTTGTAACTTCTACAAAAACTTTTGTCAAAAAAACTTATCAGAGTCAACTTTAGTCGTGAAGTGACAGTAGTCTAGTGACAAATGATAACTCCACTGAGAATATGCACTATCACACAAAAAATCGAGTCCCGCTCCCTACAAATGTAGGGATTTGGCTAATGTACCGGCTAGTTGTGGTCTAATGTTTTTTTTAAAAAAAATTCTAGTCAACTTTGACCTTTAGTAGTTGGAGATTCTAGTTGGAAACACTAAATTTACATATGCAAAGGAATGACAAAAATTTACCTTTCATTTAAGTAAAAAACAACAGAATGATATCTTGGTTAGGGAAATAGATTGTATAATAAAGTAACATTACAACAATATATATATATATAACTAGTCCAAACGGGATTTAGGGCGTTTCACCATTGTGCCAAGCGATAATAAATTGTCTAATATCTTCGAGCAAAATCTTGGTGGCTTTGATGGTAATCCAACGGGTGACAAAAGAAACCGGTGGCACATTAAGAAGAGAAGAAGGCTGAAAGATTATCTCCATTGCCACCTTCGATGCAATCCTTCCTTGTCCACCGCTACATCTTTTGTATTCTTCCGGATTCTTCGGCTCATTGTGCTTGCACAAGCGTTCTGAATCTACGTATAGTGGCTCTATTTTCCAGCTACCCTCGAACATTTTCATGTACTTCATTTTATTTTTCTTTTTCGTAAATTTTGCCTAAGCAAGAGATTTAACCCAAGGTTAATTCACCTAAAACATAACAGAAATGTTTAAGTCTTGTGAGGGATATATATAGAAGTTTTTCATACTGTAAGATTTTGATGGTTCTCATCGATAATTAGATGAATGGGGATAGTTCCAGACCACAAAAGGAACTTCCATCTCAGAGCTTTCCTCACATCCGTGATCTGCCTCGGTCCAGCCTTCTTCAAAACCTTTGTTGATTTGTTTTCCTTCATAAGAAAAACACCAGAGTCTCAATTATTAGTATAGTAAGTAACACTCATCAATTTAAATCATATATACAACTATATGAAAAAAATAAACAAACCAGACGTTGTCGCCAACGCTTGTCGAAATTGAAGTATGTTATGTTTCTTGGATTAGTGAGCATCTCATAGACTCCTTGAGGAGGCTCTCCCAATGTGAATTTTATGTTCATATGACAAATACCATTTTTGGTTTTCACCTTCACATATCAAACATGTAAGAAAGTTTTTAGATCTTATTTTCTTCTCTAGAGACAAAAAATCTTTCAATTCTTTTGGATTTTAGTTTGCTGATGATTTTCTGTTTACCTTCACCTTTGCAGGAGCATCATACCATGGATTCTTCTTCTCTGTACCTAGCCAAAGTCCTGCTTGCCTCTTCAACTCGTATACGTCATAATATTTAGGATCCACCGCATACAGGTTCTTTGATCTAACCTCCCCAGGTTCCATGGACTCGCTCTACAACAAGAAATATAATTGCATTATAATTTCTATAATTAACCGGTATAGTATTTAAAAAAATATATATATATTGTTTGCTGAAATGCTCACCTTACCAGGTTCATCATACCATGGTTTTAGATTAGTCTCTTTCTCTGACTCTGAATTAGATTTGACATTCTCAGATCTCCTAGACTCTGCCTATAAGAAAAAACAGAATCATGATCAGATTTGTATAGGTAACCAATATATTAGTTTATATTGATTTGAATTGTCGGTTCTCTGATTGATGGGAATGAAACTGACCCTTGGAGGATGTTGAATGTTCTGACTGAACCAGCCACCGAATCGAGGAAATACACTCATTTCTTTCAGAAATTTTCGACCGCAAACTAAGCTTACCTAATGACGATCCAATCATGTATGTTATGGTTTGAGGAATCTTAGATTAAAGGTTGATTCAGATTTAAACAAAATACTATATGAAGTTAAAAACATGGACTACATTAGGTTTTACGTACGGAGAAACAAAGAAGTCGGAAGCTCCATTCTCATGATTTCTTGACGTACAAGCGTGACCTACCAGTCTCTAAGTGCTCCATTTTTGCGTATGCCCCAACCATAATCTATCTAAGAGCAAGATCGCTTTTGCCATCTCCGTTTGATTTACTGAGAAAAACCAAACCCTCCTATTTTACTGAGAATCTACATTTATTGACCGATTAGTTTGCTTGCCGTGGGTATAACACTTCGGCAGTGAGACGAGCATTCTCTTTTGGTTCACCCAAAATTTGCTTTTCTTGATTTCACATCTGATTTAAATGAATGGTGATTCACATATGCACATTATTTTAATGTATCAACTATCAACAACTACATCAACAATTGCATTCGCATGGTGATATCCACCAACTAACATATGTCAATATGTCATGTGTGCAAGACCATAACCATTTTTTAGCATGTCAGAATCTGGCGACGTCTGTTTAAGGATTTTTTTCAAGTATCATGCGATTTTTCTATGTAGATGTCTAGTCTAATTTATCAAACATATGTATATTTTGAAGTTATATATAATTCTATCCAGCGCATCAAATATTAACATATCTATGTAAAAAACTATAAAGTATTTTAAATTTTATTTGTACATATTAATATTAAATTTTCTAAGATCTTCTAGCAAAATCTTGGTGGTTTTGATGGTGTACCCACGGATGATCCAAGAAAACGGTGGCAGATTAAGAAGAGAAGAAGGCTGAAAGATGTGCTCCATTGTCACCTTCGATGCAATCCTTCCTTTTCCGCGGCTACATCTTTTATATTCTTCTCGACTCTTCGGCTCTCTCTGGTTGCACAAGCGTTCGGAATCTACATATAATGGCTCCACTTTCCAACTACCCTCGAACACTTTCATGCACTTCATTTTATTTTTCTTTTTCGTATATTTGGCCTAAGCAAGAGATCAAACCCATAATAAATCAACCAAAAACTGAACAAAATTAAACAATTAGTTCTAGTGAGGGATAAAGTCAAGAGAAAGTTTCTTACTGTAAGATTTTGATGATTTTCATCGATAATTAGATGAATAGGGATAGCTCCAGACCACATAAGGAACTTCCATCTCAGAGCTTTTCTCACATCCGTGATCTGCCTCGGTCCATCTTTCTTCAAAACCTTTGTTGATTTGTTTTCCTTCATAACAAAAATTACCACACACTCACTTATTATATATTTCTATCATTAATTAGCACTCAATTTAGATTATAAGTATATAAGATTAACAAACCAGACGTTGTCGCGAACGTTCGTCCTTACTGAAGAATGATATGTTTCTTGGATTAGTGAGCATCTCATAGACTGCTGGAGGAATTACTCCAATTGTGAATTCTATGTTCATATGGCAAAGACCATTTTTTGTTTTCACCTTCAAACATCAAACATGTAAGAAAGCTTTTTTCGTAAATCTAGCAATTCCTCTTAAGACAAAAAAAAACCATACGTGATTTTTGTTTACTGATTTGCTATTACCTCCACCTTAGCAGGAACAGGATACCACGGATGCTTCTTCTTCTCTCCATGCCAAAGTTCTGATTGCCTTTTCATATCATTTACGTCGAAATATTTAGTATCTACCGCATGCAATGACTTAGATCTAACATCCCCAGGTTCCATAGCTGCCGTCTACAACAAGAAACAAAATCTTAATCTAATTTTTATAATTAACGAATATCGTATTTTTATATTGTTTGCTGATTTGCTCTTACCTTACCAGGTTCATCATACCATGGTTTTAGATTAGTATCTTTCTCTGACACTGAATTAGATTTAACATCCTCGGATCTCCCAGTTTCAGCCTACAACCACAAATTTGTTTTTTTATAGTAGTTTATATGATTTGACTTGCTGGGTTCTCTGGTTGATGGAAATGAAACTGACCTCAGGACGCTCTTGAAAGTTCTGATTGATCCAGCCACCAAATCCAGGAAATACACTCATTTCTCTTTGAAATTTTTAGTCCACAAAGGAAACTTAACCTAATCCGATCAAAGGAAAATGACTATATAAAGCTTGTAGCTATGAAAGCTTTGAATCTTTGATAAAGGCTTGATTCATATTTAGAAGAAATACAAAATTGTGTACCTATACGTTTACTTACCGTGTAACAAAGAAGTGCACAACTCCAATCTCGTGAGTTCTTGACGTATAAGAAAGAAGCTTCTGGAATCGTATTCCAGAAGTCAATCCTTCGTCAAGAGTCAAGACATTATATATATAAATGCACATTTCTTCATAGATTTAGTTATTTAGGGTTACTTTTGGCTTTATTACTATTCAGCAAAACTTTGCTCTTTTTTTTGAGAAATTTAAATTGAAATATAGTATCTTAAAAGCTAGATTTGACCAAAATATGTAATATACTGGCCTGTGTTGTTGTTGTGTCATATCCAGATTTTTTTCACTTAATGCATGTTTAACAAAGAAAAAGAGAATTGAAATGATTTGATTCTGGAATGTTTTCACTTAATCCCTCCGGTCAACAATTAATGTATAATTTCTTTCTGAAATTAGTAAAAAAACTGTTTACCAACATATATAAGATAAAAGACGAAATGTGTTGGAAATATGTGATTTTATAGTCTCATGGCTAGTTAAGCTCTTTTAATTAGTTACAAACTCTTTCATTCCTTAATGAAATTATCATAATTATCAAAAAAAAAGTAACCTTATATATCATTTATCCAATCATGCAACAGATTTTTTTTTCATGCAACACAATTATCATGCATGTCATAGACTATGGGATGGAAGGCATCGCGGTTGGCGGCCTAAGGTAACTCACGTCCCAAAGTCAATTCGAACTAAGAAAAAAAAACAAATTAAGATACATATGCGTATTCAAGTTATAGTTTTCCATGTTTGTTGCTTTGAGGTATTTATAAAGTCGTTATCTAGACTTATTCTCGAAACACGACACTCGCATGTTGAAGCATTTTGAGCAGAGTTATGGTGGTCCTAATGGTGATATCACGGATGAACCAAGAAAATGGCGGTAGATTAAAAGGAGGATATGGCTGAAAGTATTGGTCCATTGTTACTTTCGATGCAATCCTTCCTTGTCCGCCACTACATATTTTGTATTCTTGCAGACTCTTCGGCTCATTGTGCTTGCACAAGCGTACTGAATCTACATATAGTGGCTCCACTTTATAGCTACCTTCGAATACTTTCATGACAATCATTTTCTCTTTTTTATATTTCGCCTGTCCACAACAAGCAAGAGAACCCCAAGTTAAATTTCACCAATACAAAACAAAAATAGTGAGGTCTAGAAAAGCTTCTTCTTACTGTAAGATCTGTTTGGTTTTCTTCCACAATGAGTTCTATCGGGATAGCTCCAGACCACCAAAGGAAGTCCCATGCCACAGGTTGCTCCACCTTCACGATCTGCTTCCGTCCATCTTTCTTCAAAACCTTTCTTGATTTGTATTCCTTCATCAGAAAAATATCACACTCTCAAGTACGACTATCAATAATACCATATTCGAAACATACAATGATTGGAAAAAACCAGAAGTTGACGCCCATGCTTGTTCATATCGAAGAACAGTGGGCCATCATTTGGATTAGTGAAAAGTTCGAAGACTCCATCAGGATACCAGCCCAATGTCAGTTCTATGTGCATATGGCATAGTCCCTTTTTTGTTGTCACCTTCAAAACAAAAATAGAAAGCTTTCGTAAAACCTAGGTAGTTTCTTTGCCAGTTTGTTTTTTCGAAAACAAGGCCAACTAAACTGCAGTTGATTTCTTAGATCCTCATTAAGCCAAATATACATTAAATACGAGAATCCTTCCCTCGGGTTATTATTTTTTTTTTTTTGCGAGAATTGTGTTTCGAATGTTAAATTCTACCAATTCCTATTAGGAGATCTCCTATCTAGCTAGTAAAAAAAGAAAAGAAATTGTACTCATTTTTTTAGGAAAGTTAACTTATTTTCTAGGTCAATCCTAGTCTTATCCCTTCTGGTAATATATTAACATACTTCAATAAACTCATACTTTCCAATTCACAATATTGGCATGATTTCAAAGCCAAGTTTAAACCTAGAGAATATGCTAACTTTCGTAATGAGATAAGTAAAATTTCTTTCTTTTTTAACTAGGATTCTCCTAATAATGCTTTCTAAAATCCAAGTATTGAGATGTTGTTAGCTTATTTGCTTTTGTTACCTTAACCTTAGGAGGGGCATCATACCATGGCTGCTTCTTCTCTGCATCTATCCAAAGTTGAGCTTGTTTCTTCATCTCCTCTTTGTCATAATGTAGTTTTTGATTATTACTATCTTTCTCTGACTCTGAATTAGTATTAACATCCACAGATTTTTTGGACTCAGCCTACAATAACGAACATAATATTATACAGTACATAAATTAATTTATAATAGTGTTTATACAGTACTAATTTGACTTGTCGGGTTCTCAGATTGATGGAAATGAAACTGACCTTAGGTGGTTCTTGAATGTTCTGATTTATCCAGCCACCAAATCCAGAAAATACCCTCATTTTCGCCCTCAAATTTTGGTCCACAAACGATGTTTACCTAATCAGACAGACCAAGAGCAAAAAAAAAGGTACAATGTTTGTATGTATCTTAGTTGAGATTTAGAAAAATACAATACAAAACGAAGATAATGGTGTACGTTAGGTTTTACGTGTGGAAAAACAAAGTAGTGGGCAGCTCCATTCTCGTGAGTTTTACGTATTGAATAAACAAAGAAGTTATTTCCCTTATTCCGTGTTTATTTAGCAGTCTGTTAAGTTCTATGGGCTTCCAACTCAAAACCAATTGGCAATGAGTGGAGTGGCCCATATCCCTTTATATATTACTTAGGATCCCTTCCAACTTCCGATGTGGGACATTATGTCCTAATACGCCCCCTCGAGATGATGGCTCTTTGGCCATTAATCTCGGAATATTCGGGCTTAGATCGACGGCATCAATTTTGGGCCTTGTCGATGATTGGACCATCTTTGGGTCGGATCGGGTTGGACATGTGTGGATCGGGCTCTGATACCATGTTAAGTTCTATGGGCTTCCAACTCAAAACCAATTGGCAATGAGTGGAGTGGCCCATATCCCTTTATATATTACTTAGGATCCCTTCCAACTTCCGATGTGGGACATTATGTCCTAATACAGTCGAGACGTTTATGAGACTGATGCTTGCTTTCACGGAATCAGGATTAGTCAATTAAATATGGACCGCTCCACTCTGCCTAAGATTCCGGTTAATTTAGTCATTGACTACTTTAAATTTAGTCATTGTTGCTTGAAATCTTTATGATATGGTTTGAGTATTGAATGACGAAGAGGTTACTATTTCGAGAATTAAATGAAGTATACCTAACACGAATGTGTCAAGTATCCACATTAGCTGTCCCAAAGGCTTGTTCAATTTATTTGTTTTGCAAGATCCAAAGTTTCGATACCGAAACGGCGTATCTATTTCTTTAGTTTAGTGGAAACCTTTTATCAAAAAACAACAATATTCACATAAATAGTATACCTAACAATATACTTGATATTGTTTTGTTCGTTAAAGTACTAAAACGTATGAAATTTTATATTTTTCCCCTATTAGAATTCCCTTTTGAATAAACTGTTTACCCAAATAACTTGTCCATTTCGATTTTGGGGCTTTCAAACTTTCCGTAAAGAGGTACCCGCTTTTCTAAGATCTTCAAGCAGAATCTTGGTGGTTCTGATGGTGATCCCACGAATGATCCAAGAAACCGGTGGTAGATTAAGAAGAGAAGAAGGCTGGAAAATCTGCTCCATTGTAACTTTCGACCCAACTTTTCCTTGTCCACCGCTACATATTTTGTATTCTTTTCGACTTTTTGGCAACCTTGGCTTGCACAAGCGTTCCTGATCTACGTAGTCTGGCTCAACTTTCCAGCTACCCTCGAACACTTTCATTAACATCAATTTCTTTGTCGTATATTTTGCCTATGCAAGATATATTGATCAAACACTAATTAATACATCCAAAACTGAACAAACAACTGATTTTATAGGATATATGTAACCTTTCTTACTGTTAGATTCTTATGGTTTTCGTGGATTATAAGATGTATTGGGATATCTCCAGAACACCCAAGAAAGTTCCAGGACAAAGCTTTTTCCACCTTTGTGGTCTGCCTCGGTCCATCCTTCTTCAAAACCTTTGTTGATTTGTTTTCCTTCATAGGAAAAAATACCACACTCTCAAGTGTTACTTAAAATATTTAATAGTAATTGATACTCAGTTTACAACTATATGAAGAAAAACAATACCAAACGTTGGCGCCCTTCCTTGTCCTCTTTGAAGAAAGGAAAGTTGTTTGGATTAGTGAACATCTCGTAGACTGCTTCGGGAGGCAATCCCAATTTGAATTCTATGTTCAAATGGCAAAGACCCTTTTTTGTTGTCACCTTTAAACATTCAAAATGTAAGAAATTTTATAAGATAATGCTTTGATCCTAGCAACTCAAAGCAAAACAAATCTAAAAATATTGAGATTTTGTTTGCTGATTTGGTCTTACCTTCACCTTTGCAGGAGCATCATACCACGGTTTTTTCTTCTCTGCAGCTCTCCAAAGTTTTGATTCCTTCTTAACCTCAGCTAAGTCATAATATCTAGGATCTACCGCCCACACAGAATTAGAGGCGGGGTTCTTGGACTCGACCTACAACAACAAACACTATTCTACATTTGATTTGACATCCTTGAGTTCTATAATTATTTCAATTGAAACTGACCTCATGAGGCTCTTCAACATGAGGATTGATCGATCCACTAAATCTAGGAATTGCACTCATTTTGTTTCTCAAAGTTTAGTCCACGAACTATACTATCAGAGTAAGAGAAAATGAAAGAGAAACTGAAAGAAACGTATAAGAAGGCACAAGGGAAAACTAAAAGGGGCAGCTCAATTTTCATGAATTTCTGACGTACAGGCGACTCCTACATGAATACTAAATTCTACATTTTACTCTTGTCCCTTCAATTCAATCTTTGGATGTGTATAGTTCGATTTGATTTACAATCCTTGAGTCAACATTATTTCACAATTTTAAAAAAATGAAACAGGAAAATCATTTATCTTCACAATTCATATGATTTTAAAACTTATTTCCGTCTACTCACAAAAGAAGCTATAATCGCATGATTGAAGTTACCTTTTAAAAATTTTGACTTCGTTTTTTTTTTTTGACATCACTGCAATTGGGTTTATAGGTTATGCATGGGTTTTCAGATTATCTAGAGTTCTTCGTTGTTTTTGAACTCTATTTTTTTTTTTTTTTGGGAATTAAGAGTTTTGTTCCTAATTTCAGTTGGTTTTATTTGAGTATATAGAGATCAAAGGGTGTTGAGATTAAACGTTTTTGAGATCATTAAAAGCATGCTTTTGACTCTGGTCTCATCTTGATTTCTTTGTCGACAAGAAGCACTTTCCGTACCATTCACGTCGTGACTCATCCGATTGAACCGTTTCCATCCGTTTACGTTGTACCAGATATATTGGTATAGAGCTTTGTTACAACTTACAACATACATATGTGTGATCAGTTAGGTTAGTACTGTTATCTATGTTTAATTTGTTGCTTGATGCCTTTATAATCTAGAGACTCACTCTCGTAGAACAACACTCGCATGTTGAAGCATTTTGAGCAGAGTTATGGTGGTCCTGATGGTGATATCACGAATGAACCAAGAAATTGGTGGCAGATTAAAAGGAAGATATGGCTGAAAATATTGGTCCATTGTTACTTTCGATGCAACCCTTCCTTGTCCGCCACTACATGTTTTGTATTCTTGTAGACTCTTAGGCTCCTTGTGCTTGCACAAGCGGACTGAATCTACGTATAGTGGCTCTATCTTCCAGTTACCTTCGAAAACTTTCATGAACATCATTTTCTCTTTCTTATATTTTGCCTGTCCTCAACAAGAAAGAGAATCCAAGTTAAATTTCACCAATACAAAACAAAAGTAGTGATGTTTATCAAAAAAAAACATACAAAATAATTGATTATTTTCAGGGGTATAGAGAATCTCCTTACTGTAAGATCTTTTTTGTTTACATCGACAATTAGATGTATCGGAAAATCTCCAGACCACCAAAGAAAGTCCCAGGCCACAGCTTTCTTCAATCTCACGATCTGCCTCTGTCCATCCTTCTTCAAAACCTTTCTTGATTTGGTTGCCTTCATCAGAAAATATCACACTCTCAAGTACTACTATAATTAATATACCACATTCGAAACATAAAATGATATAGGGAAAAGAAAACCAGAAGTGGGCGGCCATTCATGTCCATATCGAAGAAGAGTGAGCCGTTACTTGGATTAGTAAAAAGTTCGTAGACTCCATCAGGAGTCAAGCCCAATGTCAATTCTATCTTCATATGACAAAGACCCTTTTTTGTTGTAACCTTGAAACATAAAAAATATAAGAAACATTTTAAGACGAAAAAAAAAAAAAAAAAAAACATTTTAAGCTCTTTTTTTTAACCAATTGTTTTAGAGATCTAAGTATTGAGATTTTGTTAGCTCATTTGCTTTAATTACCTTCACCTTAGGAGGTGCATCATACCATGGATGCTTCTTCTCCGCAGCTTTCCAAAGTTCATGTTGTCTCTTCATCTCCTCTTCTTCATAATTTAGTCCTTCCTGATTATTAGTATCTTTCTCTGACACTGAATTAGATTTAACATTCTCAGATCTCCTGGACTCAGCCTACAACAACAAACAGTTTATTTTGTTTTGAATTGATGTAACTTTTCAGGTTCTCTGAATATTGATCGAAATGAAACTGACCTTAGGAGACTGTTGAATGTTCTGATTGATCCAGCCACCAAATCCAGGAAATACACTCATTTCTTTCTGAATTTATTTACCATGCACAAACGATACTTACCTAATCAGAGCATATGCAAATGACGATTAGAACTCATATCTATTATGATATTGATTTAGAAAGAAAAAAAAAGAAGATGAAAGTCATGAAACTGAGATAAAGATTAATGGTGTACGTTATGTTTTACGTAAGGAGAAACAAAAGAAGTGGGCAGCTCCATTCTCGTGAGTTTTACGTATTGAAGAAACAAAGAAGTTATTTCCCTTATTTCGTATGGATTTAGTGGTCAAGAGGTCGATAAATTGGAGAATGGCACATGCTTTCATGGAATCAGAATTCGTCAACTCGACTAATTAGTCGGGTTGCTTTGATAGAAATTAATTTTTTTTTCTCTTCGATATGATCCGCATATGGTCAAATTGATTTTTGATTTTTTACTATAGAATAAAAACTATATAGTTTTGTCAATTCTGATAAAATATTCCACTCTGCCTAATATTTCGTCCCGCATTATGGTTCCATATATACTTTCATCAGTACCAAACCTATCATGTCCGTTTGATATACTTGAAAATTCAGTACCATGGAAAGAAACGTAAATAGATTCCTATCTTCCTGATATTTCAGACATTGCAGCCTTGAATTGATTAGCTGGTATGTTTGTTACATAGTTTAATTAAGGTTTTTCGAACTTTTAACCAATTAGTATTCCAATGTTCGGCTTTATATAAAGTGATTCTTTCTTTTTCTTGGACAGAACGTGATTTTCTTACAGTATTCCAATATTATTTGAGATTAATGTTTGTATAATAATGGTATAACTAGCAAATATCCGATAGCAAAGAGTTTCAAACGCTTCTGATAACGGCGGCCTGAATTTGAAGATCTTCGACTAGTTCCTTAGTGGTCTTGACTGTGGCCCTACGGATGTACCAAGAAATCGGTGGCAGGTTAAGATAAGAAGAAGGCTGAAAAGACTGTTCCAATGTCACTCTCGAGCCAATCAATCCTTTTCCACCGGTACATTGTCTATATTCTTCTCGATTCTTTGGGAGCCTAGGCTTGCAAAAGCGCATGTTATCTACGTACCATGGCTCTATTTGCCACTTACCATAGAACTTTTTCATGAACATCACGTTCTTTTTTGGAATCATATATAATGCCTGTCCACAGTAAGCAACATAAACTAAATTTTTGAAAAATTTACTTGATATAAGAAAAATTTGGGACCAAAGCCCATATATCTTTATAAACTTTGATTTTTGTGGTAGATATAGAGAAAATTTCTTACGCTGAAATCTTTTCGACTCTCATTGAAAGTTAGATGTACCGGGATAGATCCAGACCACCAAAGGAACCTCCAGGGAGCAGCTTTTTCCACTCTCACGTGCTTCTCTGTCGGTCCAAGATCGCTAAAAACCTTACTTGATACGTGTTCCTTCATAAGAAAAATGTCACATTCGCAAGTACCGCTACTATTAATACTCAAATTACATCGAAAGATACAATAACAAGAAGTAGGAAACAAAATACCAGAGTTTGGGGCTTCCCCTTTTTCATCATTGTGAAGTATGATGGGTTCTCATAACTAGTGAGTATATCGAAGACTGCTTCAGGAGGCAACCCTATTGTAAATTTTATGTTCAAATGGTAAAGCCCCTTTTCCTTTGTCACCTTCAAACATAAAAGATATTAGAAATTTGTTTAGTAATTTTTTTTAATCTAGTTCCACCATTTTTACTGTTTTAAGGAAGGCCCAGTAGTTTTCATTTCATGTAACTATAATCAATGATTAATAAACCAATTCGCCTATTTTAGGGAATCCCATAGTATTCATAATCATCAAAATTTTAGGTATTTTCAAATATCTATATCAGTTATTTGCAGCTTCTAGAAATTTACCCAAACAAAAGAAAAAAAAAATTAACAGTGTATTTGGTGGAATTTTATAACGACAAGAAAGAATTTACAAGCTTCTCTTTATCTTTAATCTTTCGTTGTGCAAATGTTAAAGCAGATAATTTAGCACGAAAAATTCGTACTGAACCGCATTATATCACATATGTAAACAATAATCCTCAAGAATGGCTCTTTTGAGCTCTAATTAAAAGTTGTTGATAAAAAAAAAAAATAACGGCATTAATTTTAAATGTATGTTAATGTCTATAAAATCGAAAGTGTAACAAACAAGCACTATGATGAGTCAGAATATTAACTAACCTAAAAATTGAATATAAAATAAAAAAATACTATAATATTGAATTTTAAATAAATTGTATGTTTTCTTTTATTTTAAATATAAATTGTATGTTCTTAAAAAGTAAAATTTAATATAATGTCACGATAATATGGCCACACACATCTTTTTCATGGATCAACCGTCACGCCAAATCTAAGAAATGAGAATTTCTTGTTGGTTTGTGATCTTACTTACCTTCACCTTAGGAGGATAATCATACCATGCAGAATCCTTCTCTGAAGCTCTCCAAAGTTTTAATTGCTTCTTTAATTCTTCTCTGTCCTCAGGATAAGTCTCTGACACTGACTTACGTTTAACATTCCCAGATTTCTTGGACTCGACCTACAAACAACAAATAGAATCATAACTTCATATTGATTTGACCTCCTAGGGTTCTCTGATAGATGGAAATGAAACTGACCTCTGGAGGCTGTTGTGTGTTCTGATTGATCAAACCAGTCAATATACCCATTTCTCTCTGAAAATGTAGTCTACAAATGATGCTTACCTGATAAAAAAAAGAGCAAACGACAATCCAAAGCTTGTGTATATGAGAAATATTGTAATATAAAGTTTAGATTGAAAGAATATAATAGCTGAGGGGCTGGTGGTGGAGGAGTGTACGTATACAGAGAAACAAGAAGTGAGCAGCTTGATTTTAGTGAGTTCTTGACGTAGAGGCTAGACCTACCTAAACAAAGAGGAGATTTTCACAACAGGAAACAAAATAAAAATTTGATGTCATATTACGAAATAAAAATTTGATGGAAAATTATGTAATCGAGACTTTTCGCACAAAGATGCAAATATAAACCATGAATTTCTGTAGAAATTTCGGAATCAATATTTGATGCAAAATAATATGACATAATATAATGTTGTTGACAAACAAAAATAAATACATCATTATGATTTAATTTGTTGCATATATTTATCATGATTTGGCGACATTGCAGAATGAATGTAGAGCTTAAAATTACAAATCATAAATGTAATTTGTGATTATCAGATTTTTATGCTGAAAATGCAAAATCCAATAACGGTGAGTCTAGCGGTCAAGGTGATGATAAAGTAAACAACTGAATACATATTGCATCTTTTTGGTCATTAAAGAAAAGTATTTCAGTTTTTAGTTTTGAAGATTAGTGTAGATCTTATGGAGCTACATCGAGTAGATTCTTGGTGGTTTTGATGGTGATCCCACGGATGATCCAAGAAAAGGGAGGAAGATTAAGAGGAAAAGAAGGCTGAAAGATTTGCTCCATTGTCACCTTTGATGCAATCCTTCCTCGTCCCCCACTACATTTATTGTACTCTTCGCGACTCTTCGGCTTAATTTGCTTGCACAAGCGTTCTGAATCTATGAAAAGAGGCTCCACTTTCCAGCTACCTTCGAAGACTTTCATGAACTTCACGTTCTTTTTCTTATAATTTCCCTAAAAATATATCAAATCCAAATTAATTAACCCAAAAGTTAACAAAAAGAATTGATTCTTGTGAGGGATATAGAGAAGTTTCTTACCGTAAGATATTTTTGGTTGTCTTCGACAATTAGACTTATTGGGAGAGCTCCAGAAAACCAAAGGAATTTCCAGGATACAACTTTCTCTACCTCCGCAATCCGCCTCGGTCCATCCTTCTTCAAAAGTTTTCTTGATTTGTTTTCCTTCAAGAAAATTCACACTCTCAAGTAGTTGCTATATTTTATACACGATATTTAATCATACATTGATGAAAAGAAAACCAGAAAGTTGTGCCCATCGAAGTCTTGGAAGTATTGGTTGTTGAGTGGATTAGCGAATAATAAGTAGACTGATTCAGGAATTCTTCCTTTCGTCAATTCTATGTGCATATGGTAAAGACCTTTTTTTCTTGTCACCTTCAAACATAAAAAAAAAATACAAGACATTTAAAAGATTTTTTTTTAATTTTATCAATTCATCTAAAGGCAAAAAAACCTCAAGTTTTTAAGTTTTATTTGCTGATTTGCTATTATTACCTTCACCTTAGGAGGAGCATCTTTCCATGGATACTTTTTGTCTTCCTCTATCCAAAGTTGTACTTGCTTATCCACTTCATCTTTATCATAATATTTAAATTCTAACGGTGGCTCTGAATTAGATTCAACATTCTCAGATCTCTTTGACTCAGCCTATAAAAAAACAAACAGAATCATAATAATCTCTTTGCATCTATTTGACTTTTTGGGTTCTCTGATTGATTGATGGAAATAAAACTAACCTTAGGAGGTTGTTGACTGTTTTGATTGATCCAGCCACCAAATCCTGGAAATACACTCATTTCTTTCTCAAGTAATTAGTCCACAAATGATACTTAGCTGATTAGAGCAAGAGAAAATGACTATCCAAGCTTATGGTTTCAGAAACCTTAGATAAATGCGTGTTACGGTGTTAGATTCAGAAAAAAGAAGAAGAAACAATATGATATTGGAGAAGTGTACGTTACGTATCGCGAATCAAATGGAGTGGGCAGCTTGATTCTCATGAGTTCTTGATGTACAAGCAAGAACAACATGAAGACAAATAAAATGAAGGTTTTAAATCAAAAATAGCTTAATGAGGCTTTGGCGCTACTATGGAGTTGGGATTTGCAACTTAAAATTACTAATGGACTGGAATTAAATGTGATGAGGTAAGTGGTAAACATGTCAACATGCAATGCGTGGACAATGGACTGGAATTAAATGTGATGGAATCTATAAAGATCAAGTAGAGCATCGAGTTAGGCCTAAGGTAACTGAAGTCCTAAAGTCGATGTTAAACTAATTTTTGCTTTAAGGAATATACAAATATATTGAATTTACAAGTTACAACATATGCTTAGTCTTTTGATCATATATTTGTGTATGATCACTGATGCTAGTCCTTTCGTGTTTCTTGCTTGAAGTCTTTCTGAGCGTTGTTTATGTTATTGAATTAGGAAGACAGCGTTATACCTAGAGAACTCACTGAACCTCTCGACTCACTATAGTCGCATTTTGAAGACTTTTGAGCAGAGTATTGGTGGTGTTGATGGTGATCCCACAAATGTGCCAAAAAAAAGCGGCAGCAAATTAAAAAGAGGATATAACTGAAAGTATTGGTCCAATATTGTCACTTTCGATGCAACCACCACTCCAATTTTTGTATTCTTCTTGACTCTTTAGCTCCATGTGCTTGCACAAACGTTTTGAATCTTCGTATAGTGGCTGATTTGGTTTTACCTTCACCTTAGGAGGAGGATCATACCAGAGAAAAACTAACTTTGTATATATTAATTGTTTGTTCGTAAAAAGAAAAAAAAAAATTAAATTAAATTTACATTTTTGAAGTTTAGTATTCCACTATTCGGATTAAAAATATAGCATTTTATGTTTAATACTACTGCCAAAATAGTAGAAGTGATAGATGACATATTTGGGGGGTTTCAAGCGTCTCGGAACATGATACTTGCATTTTGAATCAATTTGAGTAGTTTTTTGGTGGTCTTGATGGTGATCGCACGAATGTACCAAGAAAGCGGTGGTATATTAAGAAGAAAATAAGGTTGGAAGTATTGGTCCATTGTCACTTTCGATGCAACCTTTCCTTGTCCGCCACTACATCTTTTGTATTCTTCTCGACTCTTCGGCTCTCTGTCCTTGCACAAGCGCTCTGAATCTACATATAGTGGCTCTATTTTCCAACTACCCTCAAAAACTTTCATGAACATCATTTTCTTTTTCTTATATTTTGCCTATCCATAAGCAAGAGAAACCAAAGTTAAGTTTCCCTAGTATGAAACAAAAATTATTGATTATTGTGAAGAGATATAGGGAAGCTGCTTACTCTAAAATCTTTTTGGTTTTCATCAACAATTAGAGTAAACGGAAAAGCTCCACACCACCAAAGAAAGTCCCAGGTCACAGCTTTCTCCAACCGCGCGATCTGCCTCGGTCCATCCTTCATCAAAACCTTTCTTGATTTGTTTTCCTTCATCAGAAAAAATATCACACTCTCAAATATTTCTATCATTAATACCACATTTGAATCATAAAATGTTTAGAGAAAAACCAAAAGTTCGCGCCCAGTCTCATTATCAATCCTGAAGAACGGAAAGTCGTTTGGATTAGCCAACAAATCGTAGACTCCTTCAGGAGGCAATCCTACTGTCAATTCTATGTGCATGTGGCAAAGACCCTTCTTTGTTGTCACCTTTAAACATCAAAATATAAGAAATCTTTCAGATTTTTGTTTTTCTTAATTCCTTTTAAGAAAATAAATTCTTAAGTCTTACCTTCACTTTAGCAGGAGCATCATACCATGGTTTCTTCTTCTCTGCAGCTCTCCAAAGTTTTCCTTGCTTCTTAGCCTCAGCTTTGTCGTAATAAAATTCCCGTTTATTAGTATCTTTCTCTGACACTGAATTAGAGTCAACATTCTCAGATCTCTTGGACTCATCCTACAACAACAAACAGAACCATAATCTATCTTCTATAGTAATTTATATCGATTTGACTTTCTCTGGTTCTATAAATGATGAAAATGAAACTGACCTTAACAGGCTGTTGTTGTAGGTTCTGGTTGATCCAGCCAACAAATCTTGGAGATACACTCATTTCTCTTTGAAAGTTTAGTCCAAACAATAATTACCTGATGAAAGAAAGAGAAAATGACGATCTAAAGCTTGTATACGGTATGCTTTGAGGAGTCTTAGATAAAAGGTTGATGCAGAGTTAACCAATTTCAAAATGAAAATGAGAGAATAGTAGTGTACGTTAGGTTTTGCGTACCCAAGAACATAGAAATGGGCAGCTCAATTCTCATGAGTTCTTAACGTACAGGCGAGAGCTACATCAAGAGGACACCAAAGTTATTATCTGCTTGTTTTACCTGTCCCTAATTTCTCAATTTGATTTCTTTAGACAGGTCAAGCAAAAATTGTATAGAAGGATGCAGTTTCTATATGATTTCGCAGTAAGGTAATTTTATACAAGCAAAAGATTCGTTTATACAACTTTGTGAAACTTGTAAAATAGCCCTCTAATGGTTTTTAGCTGTTCACTGAAACTTTACATTCGTGTATCTGATTAATGATGGATAATGGTGATTTAGATCCACCAAAGTAAAAAAAAACAATGTATGGAATATTCACAAACGGAGTGCCTCTCCTTCAAGATGGAGCACAAAGCAATTCTGCCTTTTAAGGATCAGTGATCCTCGTCAAGCGGTTGATCTGTTCTTCTAGCTGAAACCAAATTATGAATGAGTATGATGATCTAATAGAAGAAGGAGAACATGTGTGTGAGTGTGGCTATCTTTTACATACCTTAGCATTTTCTGTTTTTTGTTTCTCAACCTCCTCTTCAAGCTTCTTAACGCTGTAGCATTTGAAACCAGTGAAACAATCAAGCATTTTTTTCACCTTTGTTATTTAAGAGATTTAAAGCTTGTGGAGTTTATCATTACCTCTGCTGCAAAACGTGAACCTCAGACAATAGATCTGTCTCCGGTGTTGATATCTGTGAATTCAGAACTTTTGGCTCTTAGTTCCTGGCCTCACACAACGTCCTCTCTATGCATATGTCATTAGCAAGTTATGAGAAGCAAACCCAACCTGCCCGCCTTCTGTATTGACAACTGGAATTCTGATTTCTGTATTGATCAGATCAGGTCACGGAACTTGTAACACAGAGAAGATGCAAAATCTGCCGACAGAACAGCAAACTTACCAGCATTTGGATCATAGAGTTGCATTAAACTGATTAACCTTTCCTGCCAAGCAAATAAAAATAGTGTGAAACGACATTTATGAGTGAAATATCAACAAGAAGCGTTTTTAAATGGCAATAACCCTTTGGATATCATTCTGGATCACGAGATTCTGTAACATTGGGAGGATTTGAGCAGCATTGCAAGAAACAGGGTTCACAGGACTAGCAGGTTTCCCAGAGGTCAGCAGCGCTTCAATGGTTACCTGTATATCAGAAGGATTGAGGATTGCAATAAGATCACGGAAAGTTATTTTCCACTAATCCAGATTACAGAGAAGTTATTTTCCACTAAAATGGAAAGTTATTTTCCACTAAAATGGTTATAAACAAAAGTTATCTTTGTATGTCCAGATGTATACCTGAGATAATTTCTCATTGTTACCATCTATACCTTTAACCAACTTGGCCTCTTCCTCCTGAAGTGTTGCCAAGGTTCAATCACAGTCCAAAACATGAATGGTAAGTAATGATAATATCAACAGAGAAGGAAACTCTTCAACTAACCTTCAGCTTTCTAAAACGCTCACCAAGCGGGTAGAGGCTATCAAGAATCGTACTAGCCAAGTATTCAGTAGAAAGAGTATGCTGTAAGAATGGATATTCCAGTAGTTTTGAAGCGGTCGGACGTTTTTCTAAATCTTTTATCAAGCAAGCTGCGACCAACTCTCTAAAAGACTGCAATAATATATAGTATCTTTCTTAATGAGTGAGATAAAATCTACAATTCTCAGGTGTGATCATTCAAGTCCACTGACCTTAGAGAATTTATTATCTTCTTCATAGTCAGGACAAGGAGAATTTTGTAAGGTCAATGGTGGCGCCTGAAACAATCATGAAAAACAGAGCACTCTAGTAAAAGAAACTAGAGTAGGAATCAGGAAAAACAATAAAACAGACTGGACAGAAAGGAGAAAACAGCAGTGCATGTTAATCTTGTACGGTAAGACTCACCACCGTATGTGGATATTTTGAAAATGGGGAATGACCATGGGCAAGTTCCAGGGCAGTCACGCCAAACGACCAGATATCCAATCTAGTAAGTTAAATATAAAACTAATAAGTCCTAGAAAAGTTACTCCTTTGAGATGGCAGGACAGGTACACTAAGAAACAGCAGACATACTTGAAATCATAGCCATCAACTTGCTGCGTATCCTCCTCAGGTGCGATCCTAGAAAGAGCAAAGAATATCCTCAAGCTAAAGAAAACAGCCTAGAACTTAGCAAGTCTATAGCACGCACCAGCATGGAGTTCCAACAAAAGTATTCCCAGAACTAGTAGGCATCCTTTCCACACCAAGCTTAACAGTTCCTTCTGAGTCTACCAGTATATTCCCAGCCTAGAAAGAAGGATACATTGTGCTATCAAAACATGATGGAGAACGAAGTACATAACTTGGATTAGGACTAAAGTACCTTAACATTTCCATGGATGTATCCTAGTCCATGAAGGTAAACAAGAGCATTTAGAATCTCCCGCAAAAAAATAGCAATTACAGGCTCCTCAAGACCATTTGGATAGACTGATTTCATTATGTTCAAGCAGGAGCCACACGACATATAAGGCATCACAATCCACAAGCTGCTACCATCTATGAAAGAGCAATGCGACCTCAATAGATTTGGATGATCAATTAAACTCAATCTTTGAACTTCTTTCTTTATGGTTTCCTGAATTTATCTCCAACAACAGACTAAATATCAGTTTGCGATGATAGATCCTAAATATAACAAGAACAAACAAGAACAAAGATGAAGATACGAACCAAATCGTTGGTGCATTTTTCAAGGTTCCAGATCTTGATGGCCACAATCTCATCAAGTAAAATGCATCGAGCTCTGTAAACACCATCGCCAATCTTCTCCAAAAGCTCGTAATCTTTCGCAGCCAGAGGAAATTTTGTTCCCGATGAGCTCGTCATTTTGCCTGATTCATGCAGAAAATCAATAAGACGGAGAACGAAATTAATAGTTTCTCCGATCAAAAACCATTCTCAACTTCATATACAGTAACGCATTGGAGTAACGAAAATGCTTAATCAAATTCCAAGAAACGAAAATCCGAATTCTTCTCTAACTAATCGGAGAAAGAAGCAAACACGATTTGAGGGAGAAATACGAGCTGGCGATTACGTACGAGGTGGAGAAAAAAACTGAAGCGTGAGAGCGCAACGGAGGAGGCTACGAAGGAGACGTAGAAGAAGCGGTGGCGGAGGAAAATTTCGTTGACAAATCGCTGGAGAATTCGATTTTTCTTGGACTTGTGGAAGTGAAAGATTCGGAAACTTTGGAGACTGAAAAATTTGTTAGGGCATCATCAATGGGGGATCATGTGAGGGTGTTCTTATAGAGAATATAATGTTAAAATAATGTAAGATCATGTGTTTAGATCTTTTGTTTAGAAGTTGATTAGTGGGAGAACATGTGTAAGATCTTAAGATTTAATAATATAATAATCTAAATTAAATTAAGATTTTACAATTATTAAAACATTTAAAAATAACATATAAATTGCAAATGCCAAATTTATGAAAAACTGAAAATAAAAGTGAAAATACAATACTAAATATTTATGAAAAAAACATTAAAAATATAAATAACAATAAACAAACAAACATATTACTTAATAAAAGCACAAAAACATTTTATCTAATTAATACATAGTTTATTATCCAAATTTATTCCAAATATGTTGAATATTCCAACCAATGCCCAAATGCCACGTCACCCCGCAACACCCACAAGAACAGATCCAGGTCAAGAGCCCAGTTCCTGATCTTAAGCCCATTAACCTATTTTTTTGGATTTAAATAATGCTTAGATCAGGGGGGTGATCCCCCAATGCAGATGGTCTTCTGATTTCACATTTATATTAGCACTTAATATTAGCTGACGAAAAAAAAAAATATATTAGCTGACGAATTTTACAATAACATTAGCTTATAAAACTGAAATTTGGTAAAGCTAAATATCAATTTAATTGGATATTTGTACAGTAGTTTTTGGAATCTGTTAAATTAAGGTACAAACGCTTTATTATCAGAAGGATATAGTTTTAAATAATAAAATTGCAAAATAATTAAACATATACTGTTTTTTTAGGAGGTATGTGACACATGATTTGGTCATTTATAAAAAAAAAAAAAAAAAAACTTTTAAAGATATCGTAATTTAATGTTTAGAGATTTGACAAATAAAATTTCTATTCCATGATCCTGAAACTTTTTATTTCTCTTGCATATAAATTAGTAAATGCTTGGCTTTCTCTTAATCATTTTCGTATTCTAGGCTTCTCAAGAGAAACAACAAACATAAAATTTCTATGTCGGGTGAGAAAACGATGCCGAATGCTTAAGTTTGGAGTAAATGATGCGTCCACAAGATCAACCATGCTTAAGTTTGCAATCATATGGATTTATGTCGTTTCAAGAGGATGGGATAGTGTGATTGCATACAAAGAAGAAATGACTTTCAGCTATTTTCTACTCAGATATTTTTTGTTTTTGTTAATGTATGTTTACGTACTTAAATTGGTTTGTTGTTTTGGTCCCTCGGATCCACCACACACTACGTTTAAAGACCGATAAATCTTTCTCGCCATCATTTCATTAATGGTGAACGTATCTATGTTTTATATCGGTTACACATGGCAGAGATGGGATTTTATCACCATGTTGGGTTTATCCTTTTTTCTATTGTAAGCTGATCGTTGGTAATTGTACGCATTGTTAGCCAGTGTTGTTTATCCTTAACTTTATCTTTTGCTTATGCTTACTTTCATGACTGACATCAGTTGTTTCTAACGGACCGAGAAACGTGGTCAAGGCTTCTAGCCTTCGAGGAGAGCAATCCTTGGTACGTCATCTTCAGGAAGCTGAACGAGTTTCCACAAAAGGTAAGAGTAATAGAAAGACTTATAGAATGTGTTTGTTGCATTTCTTGGGTCTCACTTAACAAAACTTTGCAGCACTACGTTATTGGACAATTACACGCGATTTAATCTAGGCCGTTGGTTGATTAGTAGTGACTTAGCAGCAGGTGGCTAAGATTTAATCTCAATTGCTAAAGTGAAAGTATTTAATCGTAGCCGTTGGTTTAAGGTTTCATAGTTTGTGGATTACTTATTTTGTTTCTTCGATTATATACCGTGATTAATTCAAATCACATTTATTCAGATCACATCAATCGGCAGTTTAGATAGCCTTAGGCAAAATCGATTGATTTTTATTTTTATAATAGCAATAGTTAAATCTGAATATTTCATTAGCCAAATGTTGTGGTAGTCAAATGTTGTGAACTAATAATCCGCATCATCAAGTGGAATCGTGGGACCATATATAATATAATAAATAATAAATGTGTGAATACTTTTCTAGTTTTCTTTATCTTATTTGATTATAACATTCAGATGGTTGTGACATTTTAAAAATGAAACATCACTGGTGTCTATATTCTCTTCTAATTTTCCTCTCCACCACGAAATGTAATATTTTCTAAATTTGGCAACAAGCGTAGGTAGTATTACCTTCATATTTGTGATATTTTCCACTGCATTTCTTTCGTTTTTGAGATAGGAGTTACAGTTACTAATGATGTTTCACAATATTGTTTTAACCAAAAAATAATAATTAAAATTAGGAAATTAATCCCATCAACTAAGTAATTAACAACTGATTTGCTTTATTTGGTAAACAAAAATTTTGTTTGTTGAATATCTAAAGTCATAAATCGATAAATATCACAAAAAGAACTATCTTTGATCAGTATCTCTGGAATATGTTAGGTCAACAACTAAACATTTACTTTGTAGCGTTTTTTGTTTGAAGAACCACCTTCGTTTTTTTTTTTTGTTAAAGTCGTTTTTTTTGTTTATAAAAATATTTGTAGCGTTTTTTTGATGGAAGTGTTCAACAATATTCGACGACAATAAAGAAAGTCAACAACATTTAGCTGTAACGTCCAAAAATCACCAAGAAATTTGGAATTTGTGCTAACTAAATTTCAATATCGTTAAGCTTAGCTCAGAGAACATAATTGTGTTGGTACATACAATTAATCTTACTTAACAAATACAAGATTGATTGACCAAATTAGAAGTGTTAAACATGTGGACCAATTTCGTTGAATAATATAGAAATTAGAAAGCTTTTGACATTTTATAAAATTTGTTAATATGCATGTGGGAGAGAGAGACTGACTAGTGACTAGTCTTATTAATTTTGTTTAATCACGTGGACTAAAACTTAGTTATGTAAATTATCACGAATTAACGGAACCGTTAATTCCACGGGTAAGTCAAAGGTATTCCACCGTTAGTTTTGACTTTCTAACGACGGCTTGAATTGGTCAACGTCAGCCTTCGCGCGTGAACTAACTAACGCATCGTTGGGTCAACTTCAGACGGAACAAAATTCCGTGATCTTCACAAAATCCTTACATTACCGATATGACACGTGGATCTCAAGAAACGCTTCCACGTCACACCACATGTCAATCCCGTTTTTGCTTTCCCAACAAGTTTTTAATAGACGAAAATTACGGATTTACCCTTATGTTTAGCAACGCTGACACGTAGACGACAATCACAGAAGCAGCCCACCCACTATTTCCTCAGCCCATCACGCGCTTTTACTTGTAAAGTTAATAACAACAAAAAGAGAAATTTATTTTATTTTCTGTTTTGTTGATAATTTCTTTTTGGTCCAATAAATATTTTTGCTTCAGTTTAGCAATTTTATACTAATGACATCTGGTGGAAATAGAGAAAAAAATGTCATTGAGGAAAATGGAAATAAAATATGAATTTATTGTTTATGAAATTAAGATTATAGTTTAAGCACATTTCATAAATTAGATGTCTAGTTTGCCAGATATTCTACCATTTTTGATAATTTGATCTCTACCTAAATAATTCTCTTAATTTTTCCAAATATTATTGATTTTCTGCATATTATTTAACAAAAAAATATGTCATTGGCCCAATTAAAAAGAAACATAAAAAATGTTTTTTTTAATTAAAGAAACGTACTGTTCACACTTGGTGACTTTATCTTCATGAAGCACCAACCATATAAATTGGTCAGGTCTTTATTAAAAAATTAAATCATCTTCCTCACTTCCAATTTCATTTCTTAGAGCCGTCGTTTCAGATTTCTTCTTCTTCCAGAGAGAGTCAAGAGTAACGGTGAGCTTTGGATCTAATCAATCAACGATGGAAGTTGCTTTTCCATCTTCACCGCCGGCGAAATGCATCGGTGATGACCGATTAACCATGGATTTCTCCAAATTAGGATTCCCAGAAGAAGAAGAAATTAAAAAATTGGAAAGATCGTGGAGTAAACTCGAAGAATCCGTCGAATTTAACGAAGACGAAGACGATGAAGATGAAGAAGAAGAAGAAGAGTTTTCGTTTGCTTGTGTAAACGGAGAAGGATCTCCAATAACAGCTGATGAAGCTTTCGAAGATGGTCAGATCCGTCCTGTGTTTCCTCTGTTTAACCGCGATCTTCTCTTCGATTACGAAAACGACGATGACAAAAGCGACGACGTTTCGGTCACCGACGAGAACAGACCACGTCTTAGAAAATTATTTGTTGAGGATCGTAACGGTGACGGTGACGGCGAAGAGACGGAGGATTCTGAGAAAGAACCGTTAGGACCGTATTGTTCTTGGTCAGGAGGAACGGTTGCGGAAGCGTCGCCGGAGACTTGCCGGAAAAGTAACTCGACGGGATTTTCTAAGCTTTGGAGATTTAGAGATCTTGTTTTGAGAAGTAATAGTGATGGAAGAGACGCGTTTGTTTTCTTGAATAATAATAACAACGTCGGTGACAAGACTCGGACTCGGTCTTCTTCGTCGTCGTCTGCGGCGGCGGAGGAGAATGATAAGAAGGTGGTGACAGAGAAGAAAAAGGGGAAGGAGAAAACGACGACGACGACGGAGACGAAGAAGAAGACGATGACTAAATCGGCGCATGAGAAGCTGTACATGAGAAACAGAGCGATGAAGGAAGAAGTGAAACACAGATCGTATCTTCCGTACAAACAAGTTGGGTTCTTCACTAATGTGAATGGTCTTAGCAGAAATATTCATCCTTTCTGACCAAAAAAAAAAAAATAATGAGAATGGTTTTTGGGTGATTTTTTTTTTTTTTTGGTTGTATAAAAAAAAAATTAATTTAGTAGTATTCTTATGTGGTCACTTCTGTTTGGTAGATTTGGATTTTAAATGATAGCAGAAAGGTGTACTGTTTTTTTTTCCACTATTTTCTGGTGTTTATGTGAAGAGCTTGGCTTGTGTGTGTACTAAACCAATTTGTAAAGTAATGAAAAATATCAATTAGTTTGATTTGATTAACTAGTATACCAACCATATACATATATTTATTGAGTGATTTTGCAAAAGAAGACTGATACTTAATTGATCAGAGAGGATAGCCGAACAACTTGTGTTTTTGACTATGTTGATGCCTCGAAATGATGCTGAAACAAGGAACAATGTGAAGAACTATCCTTCATTCCTTCTCTCATTAATTCCAAAACCAACGATCAATGAAATAAGACATTCCTATTTTTACTACTTCTGATGATTAATTTTCAAATTTTCTAAGAGGGCTGGTATGATAAGAAGGGATCCAGAATGTGTTAAGAGTTGGAACAAAACCTCCAAATCAAAGAACATCGACAACAAAAGAAAACCCAAACAAAAGACAAAGCCCAACAACTAAAAATAAAAGAGAGAGAGAGCCCAATATGAGATAGTATAGAAGTGGGGTGATATAATTGTAGCGGCTGATAATTGTAATGTAGTAAGAAAATGCAATAACATGTCAGTTATGGAAGAGATCAAAAGTTCGAATCTGACCATACATAATTATATTTTTAAATGGTTTAAGCAAAACGATGGGTAGTTCAGAGGTTTTTGTATTTGCATTTTTACTTACAAATAAAAAAAAAAAAAAATTGAAGATGTTTTGTTTTAGTTTGACAAAAAGAACTATAGAAGTTTCGAAAATACCAAATGTGTTTGGAGAGAGCACAATGGGTGACGACATCTAAAAGATATTCACTCGTACTAATAACAAACTCATCGGTTGGATTGATAAAGATATCAGAAACTGTATAGTTTGGTTCTCTTTTGGCTTTGTTTCTTTTTTTATTCACTTCAAATAGAATGCTACAACCTACAAGAACGATGAAATAACATATCCTCTTCTTCTTGAGCTTGGTTCTCTTTTGACTTACTTAGTCCCTTTCTTTTTTTTATTCCCTGCCCACTAGGATTTTAAATAAACTTATTATATTCTATCAATAAATTTCACATTTCATCAAAAAAGAAAATTATCAAAGTTGTTTTGGAAATTAGCAAAAAAAGAAAATAAAATAAAAAGTTTTAATCGTCCTTTGTGGCATGCAAAAAGAATTTTTTTTTGACTTTGACTTCAAATTGTTCTTGAACCCTCTTTGTGTAATTGACTAATTGTTGTGAATCTTTAAAGATAACATAATCATGTCTTTATTCATTTAAGTGGTCACACTAAAAATATATATTTAACTATATCAGAAACAATCATGTGCTTTCTCATATAGGCAATTATGTTAGAAAAGTATTTTTGTTGTTTATATATAAGTTGAAAATTAGAATGATAAAGATATAGACAATTATAAATGATTAAGAATGTTTTCTTTTTATAATTGTTTTCTTATTAGAAAATTACAATGATAAATTAAAAAGAATTAAAAAAATAGAAATTGGAGTCAATTTAAACATGATGAATAACTATTTTCTTATTATAATTGTTTATTGTCCCAAATATAGACATCTAGAAAATGTATACTTTTTCTTATATAGTTTAAATAAAGTTGTATATTTTGGTTTTTGGAAAAGATAAAATTTGAATAAGTTTATCATTCTATCTTTCAAGTTATTATCAAAAAGGTTATTGTCTAATACATTCGCCTATATTCAAAGGCAAAACAACTATCTCTAATATGATGATTTATTTTCGATAATTTTATGTTCGTTATGGCATATCAATTCATATTGTAATGTAATTACCTATTTCTATATATATAGAAACGTGATTCTATTATGTCACATTATAGATATATAGTTGACAACTTCTTGTAAGCAAAAGGAAAAATGATGAAATTGTAATTTTCTTAATGGTGTTAAATTGACTATATATGTTAAAAACTTAGTTAATTGGATTTTTCTATAACATACTTACTTAAATTTGATACCGAGATATGTTATTTTTGCCAATTTCCCATCAGTAAACTATGATTTCTTCTTATGTATGTGGATATATAATCTATCAACTGGAAGTCTTTGATAGTTGCAGTTGTATAACAGTTGTATAACGCGGAATTTTCTTTTGTGACATGTTATTTTTCTATGTGAAATCTAATATTAAATGGACTAAACATATACGATCCATTAATTTTTTAGGTTTAATAGTATATTTAGCTTACTTGTGGAAAGAAATTCAATAATTTAACACTGATGTACTGGTTAATTGAACTAGAAAGTGCGAACAGAAGAAAAAAGAAACATATGCGAAGGAGAGAAAGATCGTCACATTTCATTCATCTATTAGTATCAATCATAGAGAACCAGTGGGAATTTAGAAATAGGAGCATCGAATATCTGAATTAGTTTTCCCCTACTTTTCCCAACAAAAATAAAAATAAAGAGACAGGTTGGAAGTAATAATTTGTAAAACAAGAAGTGCTTAAAAAATGTTCAAAACTTAGGGGCGGATCTAGACATAAATTTAGTATGGGGCACTATTATAACTAATAATTAATTTAGGGGCATTTAAATAAATTTTACACTAATTATTTAAGAGAATTAAAAAATTAGAGTGGGCACATGCCACACCTTGTGCCTTCCTGATTCCGCCCTCACTTGGGTAAAGTAGAAACGGAAGCGGATCAGTTTCATAGAAGTATTCATTTGTACACACATATACAAGTATTCCGTTGTCAATGGAGTATTTTTATCCAATGAACAAAATGGTTAAGATTTAAGAACATGTTATGGATAATGTACCGCTATCATTTATCTGTTATGAGATCCAAGATAAAATTTTCATGTCATGTTTTTAGCCATGTGGACATCATCTAATTTATCAATTGGTTTTCTTTGAACATTTTAATCCTATAATTAACTACTGTGAAGTGAAACACATGATATTTGTGAGTACATAATGTATATAGCAAAAAAAAGGAATTATTTAGGTACATGATAATTGTCAGAGTTGTTTTGAAAAAACATTAAAAAAAAAAAAGGTACAATTAAAAACGTATGTGAAAAACAAGTTACTTACAAAAAAAAAAAAACTCTTTCAATAATTGACGTAGTATTCTCGTACTTGGTTAACCCAAGATTTAATGCGATAATAGAGTAATAGACTAATAGTTATAGTTATGTAGAATAATAATCCAGACACAAATACTAAAGAAACATAAATGTATTCGATAAAATAGATGCATGTCTACATAGAAAATGTCTATATGATACATGAAACAAAATTCTATGTTCTATAACAGTTAAATTATACTATAAGTAAACCATATAAAGACGTACTATTTGTAAAAATTTAATCCACCTAGGAAAACATGCTATATAAATGTTTCTCGCAATAGGTAAAAATAATTGAGGTCAATGAGTCCAAACTGCTCAAAATATACATTTGTTCACTTGGGCAAACATATATTGTTATTTGTTTAATTGTTCTCCAAAATTTTGTCATTTGGTTTAAAGATTTATTCTTGTCATTTGTCACTTTGTCAGGTATTTGAAAGCGAACACGAGGAAAAAAAGAAAGAAGCAAAAGTGAAGGAGAGAAGGCATCACATGTGATTTATGCATGTAGAAACATTTTTACCTGGGTAATCTTGTTATAGGAACATTCATCTATGTTAGTATCAATCATAGAGAACCAATAAGAATTTAGAAATACGAGCATCGAATAATTATTTGGTTTCCAAGTTTTGAAAACTTCCACTAGCTACTTTCTCCAACAAAAACAAAAGTTTAAAGAAGAAGAACAACAAAATAATTGCCTCGTTAACAAAATAATTGAACAATGATATGCATATTTCTTCACGAACTTGAGAATATAAAAATGGAAATTGGATCGTTGACATTTGATGCACGTTCTTGCACGTTACGTTTCGTGATAGTTTGGCGCAGACAAGAATCCACGATTACTGAGATGCAAGCGAAACAAAAAGAAGAAGATGGTAAAACCATATGCTATATAAAGGCATGCACAAGTAATGTAGAATGACAAAACAAAACAAAAAACAAAACCAACGCAGTGAGGCGTTGGAGAAGCAATCATAATAAGAATGATATCTTCTCCCGGGATGGGGCGTTCTGCCAATCTCGTTTATGCTCTTGGTTTTATTATCATGGCTACAATGGTTGCTGCGTCTTACGAGCCCTACACGTATAGCTCTCCCCCACCACCAATTTACGACTCTCTTGCACCAAAGGTTGACTATAAGTCTCCACCACCTCCTTATGTTTACAGTTCACCACCACCTCCACCAACGTATTCGCCATCTCCCAAGGTAGATTACACATCTCCACCACCTCCTTACGTTTACAACTCCCCACCTCCACCGCCATACTATTCACCGTCTCCTAAAGTGGACTACAAATCTCCACCACCCCCATACGTCTACAGTTCACCTCCACCACCACCGTACTACTCACCTTCCCCTAAGGTGGAATACAAATCTCCACCACCACCTTACGTCTATAATTCTCCACCACCACCACCATACTATTCACCTTCACCTAAAGTAAATTACAAGTCTCCTCCACCACCGTATGTTTACAGTTCTCCACCACCACCGTACTACTCACCTTCTCCAAAACCCGTATACAAATCACCACCACCTCCATATGTATACAATTCTCCACCACCACCATACTACTCACCTTCACCTAAAGTAAATTACAAGTCTCCACCACCACCATATATTTACAGCTCCCCACCACCACCATACTACTCACCTTCACCTAAAGTAGATTACAAGTCTCCCCCACCACCGTATGTTTACAGTTCTCCACCACCACCATACTATTCTCCTTCTCCAAAACCTGTATACAAATCTCCA